TGCTCTAGCTTGAGTTACGCTCACACAAGATTACATCGGTTGAGCTACATCGAGCGTGCTCTTATGTCCAGAGTGATGTAATCTCTCTTTGATCAGTAGCTCGCTCAATCAGCTCGATCAACCTACTTTAATCATGGAAATGAATGTCTGAGCAGGGCATCGTTCCCATGCAGTGGATCTCGCAACAATGATGAATGGATAAAAGTGGCCGTTAGCTAGCAATACATGCCTGTTCCCAGATGATCCATAAAGTAATATACATTGACCCTTTCATTCATGCAAACGTAGCTGTGTTACACAACACGACCCTCTGCATCTTTGGCTCTGCCAGGGTCCACCTACTTGACAATGAACAAATACCACTCTTCATATAGCATCACGCTTACAAACATAAAGATGCATGTATCTCCGAACTTTACAATGAAACGTGGGGTCTTTGATAGAACAGTGTGCTCGGCTTGGCCAACTGCACCTTGTGTGAAAGTTTCGCGTTCAATGTCGCAAACAGCCCAAAAAATATTTTTTGGTCGTCGTCGTCGAAGAGGTCGACCCCTAGATCCAGTTTGGCTGGTAGCGACATTGCGAAATCTGGGATTAGCCATGATGAACTTGAAACTTGCACCCAAGGTGCAGTTGGCCAAGCCGAGCACATTGCTCTAATAAAAACCCCACGTTTCATTGTAAAGTTTGGAGATACAGGCACCTTTATGTTTGTAAGCGTGATGTTATATGAAGAGTGGCCTTTGTTTAATGTAAAGTAGTATGACTATAATAGAGCAAAAGATGCAGAGGGTGTGTTTGTGTAACTTGAGTCATTCAGCACAGGCGATGCATGATTCTTGCACACTATTTAGGAATAGTTCAAAGTGCCACCTAATAACCTTAGTCCTCCCATTCACCTTTGTTACCCGACCCAATGCATACGAACGATTGTCCTGCTCCAGCCCAGCATGCCCATCATTCAACTTTCTTGATCCGATGAGATTTGACTGAAAAACGCTCAAACACAGAAGTATCGCCCAATATGAGAAAAATCATTGTGCAAAGTTATTTGTAAACTGCCAGCTAGCAACCCGTTCCTCCCACTCACCTTTGTTGCCCAATCCAATACATGTGAACGATTGTCCTTCTCCGGCCCGTCATTCCCATCCTTCAACTTTCTTGATCCGAGAGGATTTGGTTGAGTTATGCTCAAACAAAGAAGTATCATTCAAGATCAGATTGACCTCTTTAATTTCCACTTCCACTCCCAGCTTTATTGTCTCTTCCTCCCATTCTCAACTGTTGCCCCATTCAAGTACGACTACCACATGCGAACGATTGTCCTGCTTCGGCCCATCATGCCAATCCTATAACTGTCTTGATCCGATTGTCTTTGACTGAATGGCAAGTCCATGGCGTGTACAGCCCACTACAGCATCCGTGTTCCTTGACACCACACACGCTCTTGTACACTCCTCGACCACGACCAATCGTAACAGCATTCATTGCAGCAGTTGCTATTAGTGATGCCTTTACTCCATTGTCTCATACAGCGTTCACAACCTTGTCACTCTACTACAACACACGCTCTTGCACACTCCTCTGCCACGACCAAACGTAACAACAAGGTCTTCACTCCATTGTCTCATGTTACTTGCAGCAACTTGCCTTGCAGCCATTTTTTCCGCGAACAGCAAATAGTCATTGTATACAAGTAGCTTGATTAACGCGTAGCAACTTGCTTTATTACACACGGACTCCAATGGATGATGCCATATCAGCTATCAAGTACGCCACAATACAAGCAATCTTCGCCTGGTTGAGCAACAATGAAAATGACCAAGAAAGAGATAGATCAAGAACAGGATGGAAAAGGAAGCATATCAGCTGCGATCACATGGCTCTTTTCAACCACCATATTGGAAGGATGGATGCAATCAAATGCAGTGATGAGAAACCCTGGGATGTTGCTTTGGTTACTTGGAGCGTCGTTAGCAGGAAGTATGGATCATATCACGTGGATACGGCTGAGGATGATGATGGATTGGATGGCATTGAGTAAAAGGTTTATGTCTTCACGAAAGGCGTTCAACAACCATGGGCGATGTTGATGTACTGGATTCAATGCATGAAGCAGTTATTTTACAACCACGGATGAAGGATGATCATGGCAGCAGCAATCAAGAACACAATGACACATTATCTGTTGTCTCGATGTGATCCTCCCGTATCCTAGTCAATTTGCAAAGCTGTTCCTTTATTATAGTATTAGTTTATAGACATCCACACTACCATGTGCTATTCTTCTACTTTTTCATTGAATGAAGATTGGATTCAACGTAATACTTGGGGTATCATCTCAACTCATGTGTTCATGATGTGGATCACTTGGTTGGTTTCTGGACTGAAACGGGGAGGACAAATTTGAAGGTCAGAAAGTGATATTGCATCTTTTACGTTATCGTATCGAGACGTTGTGTCCCTTTTATCACATTACATTCATCGCCAAGGCTTCGCCAGTTCACTACGATAGGCAATGGCGATTCTCAAACGCTTGATTTACAAAGATAATACATTTAAAGTGATGAAGCCCAACATAATAGTACTTGTTTCGTAAGCTTGGTTCATTGTAAGCTTGGTTCATTATGTTCGTGAAAGAGTGAGCTATGATACAATGTGACACAGATGCAGGAACATACCATACTTATCGATGACTATTCTCAGCTAACGCTATCGTATGCAACTAATACACACGCGCCTTCATCATCTTTTTCATGCACTGCACGTTTGTGTAACCAGTTGACCTTATGACGACTACTTTTGATTGTACGCCTCCACCACACGCCTACAAAGCACGTCCCCAAACACATGCAGAGTCACTGTAATCGCACATAAATGAGTCCTCATGTCATTCTCATGCACCACTCCATGCATAGCTATACACCATTTTTCGCAAATGGATGCATTTCGACTACACAGAAACACGTCGATGTACAGCATTTGATAAGCAAGCTTGTTGGGTAGAAGTGGGCGGCATTTCGATTTTTCCATCCATACTTGACGGCATATGAACCGTCGGCTGTGCATCCAAAATGGCTTGCTCTACTAGCTTGTAGCTCTTATCCCAAGATGTGGTCCATTTTGTTTGTGTACCAGAAGGTCTTGTTTTGTTGCGATGATCACGTAATAAGGCGTTATATATGTTACGTACACAAGGTGGCGCAAGCGTCTACGATTCCGAATACTGGGTCGCTTGTGCTTCATGAGTACCATCATTGAAACCATAGTCCATTCAGGGATGTACAGGGCTTTCGTATTGTTTTCATAAAGCTACATGCTATGTTTGCATGTCGATCTTCACATTCTATCGGTTGATTTGTAATCTGTAATTTGTCGTCGGAGAAGACAGCGAAAATACGCCATTGAAAAATGACGCGTTGCATTACTATTTGTATTCTTAAACTTCTTTCTCCTTCGCACCGCTTTTAACGAGGATATGGGCACAGCTGCTGAAGCACCATCTTCAACCATGCAATACGTTCGTTTTGGAAAAACCGGCTTGCGAGTAAGTGAAAGAAAGACTACTTGGGTGGTATCCAAGAAACAATTCGCTCAACAATAAGATGTCTTGCACTTGTTTCAGGTGTCGCGTATTTGCCTTGGATGCATGTCGTATGGTTCCCCAGCCTGGAATTCTTGGTCCTTGGATGAAGATGAATCCTTAGACATGATTAAAAAGGCGTATGATGCTGGTATCAACTTTTTCGATACAGCGGATATGTACTCGAATGGCGTGAGTGAAAAGATTCTTGGCCACGCTATTCGTAAATTTGCCTTTCCAAGAGATCGCATCGTCGTTGCAACCAAGGTATTTTTCCCTGTGATGCCTGAAGTAGGTATGGGTTTTCCTGCTATGCCAGAACGTATGGATCGTGGTGATTTGGTCAATACTTTTGGACTTTCGCGCAAGCACATTTTTGATGCAGTGGAGGCTTCGTTGGAGCGATTGCAATTGGATTACATCGATCTTTATCAGATCCATCGCTTTGATCAAGTAAGAAAAATAATCGAAAAGTGTATAACTTTTTTATGTAACCATGCTGGGCTATTAGAATACCCCTATTGAAGAAACGATGGAAGCGCTCCATGATTTGGTGAAAATGGGCAAGGTGCGCTACATTGGTGCAAGTTCGATGCATGCTTGGGAGTTTCAAAAAGCCAACAACATTGCAGCAAAGCGAGGATGGACCCAATTTTCATGCATGCAAAATCTTTACAACTTGCTGTATCGTGAAGAGGAACGAGAGATGATCCCTTATTGTATCGATCAAGGTATTGCCCAAATCCCTTGGTCACCCTTGTCGATGGGCAAGTTGACGGGCAAAAAGCGAGACACTACTAGAAGCGAGAAGAGCTCTGCATTTCACAAACGCATGTTTGGTGATCGATATGATGAAATGGAAGACACCATTATTGATAATGTGATTGCCCTGGCAGAAAAGAAGCAGGTGCCTCCCGCACAGGTACGTATACTGCACAACATGCAAGCTCTGTGAAATAATGCCCTGGAGACTAATCATGTCAAAAATGATAGATTGCACTTGCCTGGGTTTTGTCAAAGTCCCATGTGACAGCACCCATTGTTGGTATTAGGAAAGAGGAGCATTTGAAAGACACCATTGCAGCATTGAATGTGAAGTTGACTGAGGAAGAGATCAAGCAATTGGAAGCACCGTATGTTCCCCGGCCATTGATCCCCATGTAGCATTATCCAAAACACCAAATAAAAACACCGCTTTGGGATTGGGCAATTTATGATTTTTGTCCAACCTGAGCGTTTACATTGTTGTATCAGCAGTCTAGCCCTTATCATTTCTTCCCTCTTTCTCTCTCCTAAAGACCAATCCAATTTTGCTTTTCAGGAGATTATCGTTCAATGCAGCCGTGATCAACGTTATTTTACTTTCTTTATTTCTCTTTATCATTTGAAATGACAACCTCAGCAGCATTCATTCATCAACTACGCGAGAAATCGAAAACATTGCATTTACTTCGATGGATCCACCTCGCCAACGCTATCCTATGCATTATCCTTACAGGCCTTCTCATTGGTGTGGCCGTCGATATCCGTTCATTCATCTCTAATGGAGCCGCATTGTCAGGCTTTGGTAAGGAGCATACAATGGATAACGTATGTATGTGTATGTGTATTAATGTCAATTGTATCCACCAGGCAACTATACCACATTCACTTTCCCAGCAACCTATGTGTACATGCTCATCCCAGCAGTGTGTGCCCTTGTTTACAGCATCATTCTTTTTTGTGACCCAAGCCCTTCTTATCCAGCATGGCAACCATGTAGAACATTCCTTGGCAGCATTGGATGTTTTTCAGCCGCACTCTTTCTCGCCGCATTATTACCCGTATTGCCTGGAGCCGATATTATGACAGCACCTGAATCAGCAATGACATGCACGTGGCGGGATTACATGTCATGGAGGATCATTTACAATAATCCAGAAGCGTTTCCATGGGTGGTTAAAATGGATAGTGCATGCCAACAGCTTCGAGCAGCGGATGCCATGTGCTGGATAGTGTTCATTGGATGGTTGGCCACACTCGTCTCATATGTCCAACGTGCAAGAAGAGCAAAGATAATACGTGAGGATAACATTGTTGATGAGAAGACTGAGGATGCATCGGGTCGGATCGGCAGCTGAAGCTCAAAGATTCCATACGACAACACCCATGCGGGCAATAATGTGATAACAACAACGTGATGATCTCTATGTCTCTATATCACTTTGCTGCATTTATTCGTAACAGACTTAAATGATAAGAGTAGCACCTCCAGACTATAATAAAGTAATTCATATTAATATCACAGCATTCTATGGGAAAAAGAGATGTATATTATAGTTACCTCGATAGCTTCCATTTCGGCTTCACTAAGAGGTGCACGGCGGTATCGTGCTGGCAAGTCAGCGAATTCCAATGCTCCCTTGGAGTGGGTGGGTTGCTTGGCAGGTGCAGCAGGTGTGGGGTTGGCCTTGGCAACGTGCTTTTCGAGGTTAGCGGGCGTCATTGGATGGGGACCAGCATGGGAGGGTGCATCTAAGAGGGAAGGGGGAGTTAACAAAATGAAGAGGGCTCAAGCCATTGGACATACTTTTCCACAAGTTGGCCCTTGAACCCACGAATTGAATGAGAGGCTTATGGACTGCACGCGAGATAAACGAAGGTTGCATAGTAGTAGTTGGTTTGTGTGTGAAGAAAGAAGAAACAAAAGCGTGATAGTGTGTCCCAAAACGTCACGAGCCTCATTTGGGTCAGCCCGACATTATCGTGTCAGCGTGCTCTCTCTTCCCTCTCTCTTATTCCCGTCGTTTTCTCTCCTAGTCGCTGCTGCTGCTGCTCAACCAGCCTTCTTTTCGTCAACCAACCAACCAACCAACTCACCAACCCAACAACACAACAAAGAACAACCAATCCCTCCCTATTCACCTTGGCATCGACTTATCGTCACTCTTCACAATTGTGCTGTCTGGTTCCTCTCTGCGTTCATGCAGCAGTAAATGAACTTTCCCGAGACCCAGGTATATCTCATTGACACTCAATCAGGGTCCACCTTCCTTTATTTCTCATCAACTAGTATAGATAGCGTTGGGTGGTTCTAAATCAAGTCATCGCGCTTCAAAGACAAACGTTACAAGACAAGGTTGGTTTTGGTGTGACATGAAATGCTGCACCTTTTATATGCTGACCTTTCTTTTTATATTAGCGAATGGCGACAGTGATGGCATACGACGATTACATGGAAAAGCACATAGCACACACCATAATATTGAGAGCGTGGAGTATACCATGCATGAAGACAATCGCATTGCTCATTCACAACGAGAACATTACATAAAGGTAAGCGACCCTACATCGCATGTTGTTTTTTCTATATCGGCAGGTTGATTAAATGCATTATTAGCCCTCTTATTCAATGCCGCTACGATCATCATCATCCTCTTACAATCGACCTCTTTCACTTCCCCCCACTGTCTTGGACGATCAGGAACACGAGAATCTCATGCGTGATGTGGAGCAAGCAAAACAAGAACTACATCGATTTCGTAGTGAAATGGAGGGCTTGGCAAAGCAGATTGATGGCATGGCTCTTGATTTGGCAAGTGCGATTAACACTCTTTTTTTCCCTTGATTTATCCTTACACTCTCCATTAGAAAGATTCCAAGGATCGAGTTTCCAATTATACCCAAAAACTTGGTAAGTAAACCATATGATGTATGAGCCTTGATCTTACTTTTCCTCACTAGTTGAGATCGAGCATGACTTGACTACTACGCAGGAGGTGAATGTGGATCTACAGGTGTTGTTGGAGAATGCAGTACGGACACAAAAAGAATCGGATGGCAAGACGACACACGTCATTAGGCATATGCACTCTAATTTAGCCAATGTAAGTGCCGATCTTTTTCTCTCTCTCTCTCGTATAGGCACGCATTATTCACATTGCTGCTTCAATTTTAGATCGTCTATGAGAACAGCCAGCTTCAAGAAAGACTCGAATCGATTGAACAGCATCAACAAAAGCATCATGGCACAGCAAGTAATGTGGGAGAAAAGATGCGGGAATATGCAAACATGCTTGAACAAGCACAAGATACATTGCATGTCCTCAAAACCCATCGACCTTCATCACGACCTGTTGTACGATCACGCGATGATATTATTCGAGCACTTTCAATTCAAGATGGATATGGATCACGAAGAGCAAGTGAAGTATCATCAGTGTACATGACCGAGGATGAAGAAGTGTTGTCCATTGCTTCTCGCAAACAATCCGAATCCACAGCTATTACTGCACCCTCGCCTACTCCATCCGAACAACTAGCAAGGTCTCGCAGTATATCACCTGATATCTTGGAGCTTTATCGTCATCGAATTATTCGCAAACGCCCCTCTCTCCCTGATGGCTTATCCTCACCACCACCACAATCCACCTCAATCCATTTTCCTACTTCTACCTCTTCTCAACAACAACCTTCTTCGTCTCCAAATCATCCTCCTCACCAACCACCTGCACCCTCTGAACATCGAACAAGATCACCTCAACAAGGCTTGCATATGCTCTTTAAGAATCAAGGTGGCCATGGTCTTGGTTTGTCTTCATTGACAAAAGATTTGAATGTAGATAGATCACGATCTTTTATTAAAAAATGAATTCTCATATAAAAAGGAATTGGGTCATGGTGTTGTTGATTGCATACACACATCTCGCTGAGTCACCAGGATCAATCTATGCAGGGTCATCATGGTGGATCGGATCCATATCTTGAATTGGATGCTAATGCATCGGTGATTTAGGCTAACGTCTATCTAGGTTGAAGAGGGTGATGGAACAACATGTTGTCAGGGAAGTGAACGGGATCAATGAACTTTTTTTGGATTAGCGATTGGAATTAAGTTTAAGCGGATATCGTCGATTGCTGGATTTCGTTATCTGTTATCACAGCTATCACTTTTGACATTTGCTCGCAAGCATGAAATGATCGAGGAATGACCCAACGGCGTAGTATCCATAAACAAGACATAATAAGACTCCTTAGCAATGATGTATTGAAAAATAAAATCACGTGTGAGTGAGTTTGAGGAAGAGGGAGGGTATGATGTATTGATTATTCCTTGGGTGCATGAATTGTTGGGGGTGGAACGTAATAAAAGGGTGACGGGTGAACGCGGGAATGAGGTGGGTCTTTTCTTTGTTCTGGTATCCATGCCATCCTATATCAGCGACTCTCGTCTCAACGGCTACGAAGCGGCTTTTTGTGGTGCAACGGCAGGCATCGTATCCAGGTAGAAAGTAAAGGGAACATAGTACACATCGAAGAGCACCTTTATGAATACGCTACATGTAGATTTGCAACTGCCCCACTTGATGTGCTCAAGATCCGTTTACAATTGCAACCTCATCGGACAGAGTTTCAGCTCTTGAAGGGGACTGGCAAGACAAGCAATGGAATCAAGTATGCAAGGATGTTACCAGCATTAAAGATGATATTACGTGAAGAAGGCATTCGTGTATGTATGCATAACGTGTCGGCGGTGGCGGCGGTGTATGTGACAAGATTAGGAGACTGACGTGTTTGAGTTTCACAGGGATTGTACAAGGGCAATCTGGCAGCTGAATACCTTTATCTACTCTACAATGCTGTCGAGTTTTGTGCTTACAGGGAGATCGAGCTTGCTGTTGAAAAGATGGTAATGGTTGTCTATGGTGATTTATCCTATCCACATTCTCACTTATGTATAAAAATCAGGATGCTCAAAACAAACTACCACGATCAGCAAAGACATTTATGGCAGGCATGTTTGCTGGTAGCGTAGCCACAGCTGCAACTTATCCATTGGATCTACTTCGAACACGATTTGCTATGCAAGGAACAAAAAAGGTACATTGACAACAACCTTTATGATCATTATCACTGATCCCATGCATCATCATTAGCATTACACGGGGATTGTTCAAGCTGTACGGTTGATTCATCAAACGGAAGGGATTCGAGGATTTTATTGGGGAGTTTGGCCTGCTATTGTTCAAATCATGCCGTACATGGGGATGGTGTTTATGACTTATGATGGGTTTGCCACAGCATTTGAAAAAGCAAGAGTAAGTGGATGAAGAACGAACCGGTAGGCTGGGTTTACAATATCGGCTCATTTCGTGCATTTGGTGTAGGAAAACAAAATTCTATCGGAAAAACACAAACCCATCCACGATGCAGCCAGCGGCGCGTTAGCAGGTGTCATATCGAAATCAGTGGTCTATCCAATGGATGTGGTACGCAAACGCTTGCAAGTACAAGGTCCTTATCGGAAAGATTACGTGATCCAATCCATTCCTGAATATGCGAGCCGTTCCTGGATAAAGTGCATGCGACTCATTGCTGAGCAAGAAGGTGTCAGTAGTCTTTATAAAGGCTTGAACGTCGCTCTTATCAAGGTTGCACCTGCCATCTCATTGACCTTCTTTGTATATGAAAAGACGAAAAACGCTATATTGGATTTCAAATCGACATGATGAACATAGATGCACCTCTTAGACTTTTGCCCCCCCCTCTCTCTCTCTCTTTTGTACATTAGAAATACCACTACCATCTCATAAAGATATACATATGAAACACACGTCATCTGAAAGAGGCCAATAAGCAATTCATTATGAATGATGATCAAGTGTGATACAAAAAGAATAAAGTGAAAATGGGTGCTTCTTGTTTCATCCTTGATGTTGGTTTATCTGAAACATCCAATTTTAGTTGATTGGCATCTTGGATGTGGATGGGATGAAAAAGAAAGAAAGAAAAGAAAAGAAAAGAAGGGAATACTGAATGAGGAGCGTCCAAAGTGAACGTCGTTGTTGAGTGGGTCGGTCCATTTAGTGTCACGGATACACACACATACACACGCACGCACGCACACATACACCACATACACTCGCACACGATGCACATGTATCGGTTGTTGAAATTGTGTGGGTGGTGAGCCATCTGGTAAGCCTTGGCTCTTTTCAGTACTCTTTCTTCTCGGCTTGGGTTAAACGACAAACACCAGGGAATCCAAGGACAACTTGCCATTTCAACCTTTCTCTTGTTTCTTTTTCTCGTTTATTTCAGAACCTAATTCTCACTCAAAAGAAAAAGGTAACCCTCGCCATCTCTTCGAAACAACTTGTCATTTCATCATCTCGTTACTGTTCACGACCATGCTCACGTTTGTCTTGATGCCTATTCAGGTTCATCCCCTGGAACGACTCGTCTCTTTGTACTCTACAGTTTCTTTGCCCCGTACATAACAACAAGGAGACATAAGAAACCATGGTAAGTTTATTTTCTCTCTCTCTCCCTTAACCTTTTGTGGTGGTGGTGGGTGGTTGCGATGGTTACGGTGCCATGGATACACTCTATATCTCTATTACGTAACAAATGCACTGATGAATCCCTCTTTTAGAATCACGAAACCAAGATCCGTGAGCTACAAAAGAAGCTCGATGATAACAAGACCCTCCGTGATCGAGCCATCCATCTTCGTTCCCTGCTTACGGATGCCAACACCATATCTCAGTGCGAGACGCAGATCAAGGAATCGCAAAAATACATTGACTACTTTTCCGAGGAATTGCACAAGCTTCAGACTCGCTCGCTAAGAACGTCCACACATGGCTCATCGGATGACTCGACAACGGGTGGTGCCAATGATGCATCGGATTCGCCTTCGGGTGAAAATAAAACCAACAGCCCACTTCAATCTCCTGCTGCATCCTCTCTCTCCACGCCTCCTCGATCCAGCAGCATTCCTACTACAACACCTACCACCGGTGCCACGGGTGCAAAAAAGTTCACAAATTTAGGTAAGATATGGATAATAGGATGAATGAGTTTCCATGATGACTCATTTATGGATATATATAGACTTGTTGACAAGTGCTGTTCCTTACAACAAGCCCAAGGTGTCCCTCAAGTTGCATGAACTTGAATACAAATTGGATGTTGAAAAGAAGGTGCTTACTGGTATCAAGACAATGGCCGATGTCATTGAAAAGTCAGCTTCGCCTGGTGATCGAAGGCAACGTGATGAGGTCCAAGGTCAATTGTACGAGAGCGTTGAGAAACGTAACCTTTTGGATCGAGCTTTGAGAAAGTACAAGGGACTTTACATTGGTGAAGGAGATGAGGATGACTATGGTAAGTGTAATTTTCATTTATGGATTTACACAAACCCTTTTTTTAACATATGCACCCTTTGTAGAACTTGAAACACCTCTCTCTGCTCGTGTCCCACCTGGATTGCGTCGTCCCGTTACTGGCAAATTGCAACTTCAGATTATTGAAGCTCGTGAGTTGGCTCATGCTCCTACAAGAATGATCCGTATGCCTGAGACAGTGGTCTATGTCAAGATTGATGGCAATGTGGTGTATCGCTCTCGTCCTACTCGCAATGATAAATGGCTCGAGGAATGCGAGATTCATGTCAACAAGGCGTCCGAGGTGGAAATTGCCATTTATGATCAGGCTGTGGAACGTAATTTGCCAATTGGTATCCTATGGCTCAAGATCACCGACATTGCCGAGGGTCTTAGAAAGCGCAAAATCCAACAGGAAGGTGGCCAAGGATGGGTATCTGCTGAGGTGGCTCAGCAACGCAGTCAAGATACCCTCGGATCTGCTGACCCCCATTCACCCGTTCCTCAACAACCTGTGGCCGTCCAATCAACTCAAGAAGGTATTCAAGCATGGTTTGATGTCGAACCCCTTGGTGAACTTGCACTTCGTCTCAACTTTGGTAAGGATGGGTATCCCTATCTTGCAAATCGAATGATGCTAATGTCGTTTTTTCCCTTGTAGTTCGTGAGGCTGCCAACCGTCGTCCTTTAGACAAGCTAGGTCGTGTTGGTGCTGTGCGTCAACGTCCTGGAGAAGTACATGAGATGAATGGCCATCAATTTGTGGAAAAGAAGTTCTACAATGTCATGAAGTGTTCTCTTTGTGGCGAATTCTTGGTCAACAGTGGTTATCAATGTGAAGGTAAGTAATACTCAAAAGGCAAAAAAAAGTGTACATGTGTATATTGATGATGGAGTGAAATAGATTGTGAGTACACATGTCACAAGAAGTGCTATCAAAAGGTGGTTACCAAATGTATCTCGAGATCACAATCCGAAACGGTAAGGCTTGCATGATTCTTTTTTTGTGGGACTTTAGGTTCGCTAATATCGAGTTGTAGGATGCCGACGAGGACAAACTCAATCACAGGATCCCTCATCGATTCGAACCTATCACCAACATTGGTGCCAACTGGTGTTGTCATTGTGGTTACATGCTTCCTCTTGGTTCACGTGGTGCAAAGAAATGTTCAGGTTAGTGGCAATGAACATACACATTTATACATGGGTTGTTGCTGAATATGATATTTCTATAGAGTGTGATATCACATGTCATACCAAGTGCCAGCACTTTGTGCCTGATTTCTGTGGTCTATCAATGGAAATGGCCAACCAAATGCTTGCCGAGATCAAGGCTGCCAAGCGTAAGACATTAGAAACAGGTCCTTCGACTTCCTCTGCAAGCAAACCTACACCACCACGACCTGATGACCAAGGCTCTTTGCCTGAATTATCTACCGGTGGATCACCTTCGACACCTACGGAATCCATTTCTACTCAGCTATCCCAATTGTCATTGCAACAGCAACAGCAACAGACATCTCCACAACAACAACCACAGCCACCCATGCATCAACAAATGCCTCCTCAGCAAATGCCTCCTCAGCATATGCAGCAGCAGCCTCGTCCTCCTGTGCAACAACAGCAACCTGGTATGAGCCCAGGTCGAATGAACATGCCACAACCACCACCTCCTCATATGGTACCTGTTCCTGGTCCTGGTCAGCCTTATCAACCTTACCCTGCTGATCCCAGATATCAACAACCTCCTCCTCAGCAGCAACCTTACCCTCCATCCAATGTACGCCCTGTGATGCAACAGCAAACACCATCGCCTTATGCACCGATACCCAACCCTGCTATGATGGGTCGTCCTCCATATAACCAACCCATGCAGCAACAACAACAACCTTATCCTCCATCCATGGATATGGCTCCTAGAGTATGTATTGATTTATATGGGATGTAGAGAGATCCAATGATTGACTCCTCTATTTAGCCTCCACCAAAACAAGCCGTTGGCAAAGCCGTTGGTCTTGATGATTTCAACTTTTTGGCAGTGCTTGGTAAGGGTAACTTTGGCAAGGTAAGTAACGCTATTACAAGGCTCTCTACATATGAGGCTAATCATATCAATGGATACCTATAGGTCATGCTTGCAGAGGAAAAGCACGATAGAAATTTGTATGCTGTCAAGGTGCTGAAGAAGCGCTTTATCATGGACAATGATGAAATTGAAAGGTAAGGAGCATCATTTTGAGTGGTATTGATAAGCAATCGTTGGCTTGACAAAACATGGATCTTTAGTGTGCGCTCCGAAAAACGTATCTTCCAAGCTGCTAATCGTGAACGTCATCCTTTCCTTATTGGCTTGCACTCTTGTTTCCAAACCGAGTCTCGTGTCTACTTTGTCATGGAATACGTTAGTGGTGGTGATTTGATGTGGCATATTCAACGTGAACCCTTCTCTGAACGACGTGCCAAGTAAGTGGAATCTTATTATGACCATCACCACCACCCGAATGGTTCATGCTAATGGGATTTTATCATTAGATTCTATGCGTGTGAAGTGTTGTTGGCTCTCGAATACTTCCACAGCCAAGGCATCATCTATCGTGATTTAAAGTTGGACAACATTTTGCTTGGCCTTGATGGTCATATCAAGATTGCTGATTATGGTCTGTGCAAGGAGAACATGTGGTTTGGTTGCACGACGGGCACGTTCTGTGGTACACCTGAATTCATGGCACCTGAGATTTTGTTGGAGCAAAAGTATGGACGTGCTGTCGATTGGTGGGCATTTGGTGTCTTGATCTATGAAATGTTGCTTGGTCAGGTAATGATTTACATCTCCACGTAGTTGAGGATGCAGCATGGCTTAACAAACCTTTTACTTTTTTAGTCTCCTTTCCGTGGTGAAGATGAAGATGAAATTTTCGATGCCATTTTGGAAGATGAAATCCTTTACCCCATCAACATGTCTCGGGATTCAGTATCTATTTGCCAACGTGTAAGTAAAATGTCACATGGACTTCTAGTGAAACATGGCATGACTAAAAGAGAAATGCGTGCTATATAGTTGTTGACCCGTGATCCTGCAAGACGTCTTGGTGCTGGAAAGAACGATGCTGTAGAGATTAAAGAACATCCATTCTTCCGTGGTGTCAACTGGGATGATATGGTTGCTAAGCGTGTACCACCTCCATTCTACCCTACCATTACTGGTCGCTTGGATACATCCAACTTTGACGAAGAATTTACGCGTGAACGACCTGCATTGACACCCATCAACTCCAACCTAACACGTGTCGAGCAACAAGAGTTTGAAACCTTCCCTTATATTGCCGATTGGGTACTGCAAGGCAACACCAACAAGCAGCCCGGATGGTAAAAAAAAAGTGTCCTTCTTTAATTTGTTCTTTCCCTCCCTTTTTTCCCCCTCTTCTTTTATCCTATTCTTTTTTCTCTCTCTCTTTTGTAAAATACGCCGATGGCAGTCTATCATCATAAAACACGCAAATCCTTTTCATCTGCATACATTGGAGCCTCATGATTTGAAGAGTAAAAAAAGCTTGCAAGTGCTACGGATAGAGATCTGAGTTAGACGTTGTATCCGACCTGTGCAACGTGGAATAGCACCGACACGGAACCGGTCCGCAAAGACTCACCGGTTGGTATATTGGTACCTGATTTTGCCTTGCTTTTATAAAAGACAATGTCCTGAGAACGATCATAATGGCATGATATTCGTTGCTGCATGTCGTTGTGTTATGCATGTGTTACTCAACTCCGGCATGGATCCATCCAATGGCAGCTTTTGTTCGATGATAATAGATGCATGTAAACTGTGTCATCGGATATGGTTGCAGCATCAATGGCTCGTGATAAAGAGAGATCTTGTTAACCACATGGTGCCTTGGTTGGAGCACATACAATAGTTGTGCTATTATCATTGCCCTTTTCATAGGGTGAAAAAATAAAGATAGATACATTTGGGATCGGCGAGATTCATAAAGCAGCAGAGGGAGGGGGGACACAGTGTGGTGCATCCTCCTCCACACACCATGTAACACCGTTCCTGATGATTGATGAGATGAATGAAATAGAAGCTTGACATAGAAACAACACCTCATGCACATGGATTCAATCCTATCAACCAATATTGGGTAGTTTATAATGAATGATTCGAATTGAATTGTATTGTGGTCCTTGCATTTTGCACAAACGGGTTTATTTGTGGTGGAGATGCATCATCATTGGTAAATGATAATGGATGTTGGGGTAAAGCAAAATTGGTTACACTGCAGGATAACCTTTACACTGAACAATGACGCTTTTAAATACACATGTCATAGTATATGGTAGTATGGATGGATGGGGAAGTTGTATCGTTGATGTGAAGGAGAAGGAGCTGATAATCCTTTTTCTAAAGAAGACATGTAACTCAAGACGCACGCCGTTACGCCCGACGTAACAGTTCAACCTCCGCGTGAGCCCTTTTCGGTGCCCTCTACTTGGATGTCGCACCCTTTCAGTCTTCTTTTTTTCCAACCGCTTCCAAACCTCGCGTGTCTACGCTTTCTTTTTATCAGACTAATACCTTTATTCATTCACTCTCACTTTACAACAAGTGATTCCCTTGATCCCAAACAAGCGATTCTCCTTTTTACGCTGATCCACAACTCGACTACTTTCTTTATTCTTTTACCCCACCTTTATTTCAGCCGGCCAGCTCAATGTCAAGCATTCTATCCGACCGTCAACGAGATGAGCTGTAAGTGACATGGGAATAGCCATCTACTTTAAAAAGATGTTGACTCATTGAGGTTTTTTCTTGGCTTTTCTTTCTATATCTTGGATTTGGTGGGGGCGGCTTTTTCTCAGACACAAGGCGATGCTCGATTATCTCAACGCCAGTGGATTTACCGAATCCTTCAATGCTCTAAAGATCGAGAGTCAAAACGATGATTTTACACCTGATCCCAAGACAAAATATGCTGGTTTACTCGAGAAGAAATGGAGTTCCGTGATCCGTTTGCAGAAAAAGGTACCAGGGCAACAACCCATTTGGATAGAAAAAGAGCGAGCGAGAGAGAGAGAGAAAACAAGGGGGTGGATGAGGGGGTGTTGATGGTGGTGGATAAGGGCGAATGAATGTAGTTAACATGGATGCATAGGTCATGGATCTCGAGAGTAAAAACACCCATTTGCAAGAAGAGTTGAACAACGCTCCCGTTCGCAAGCAAAGCAGTTCAGTTGACTGGATCCCTCGCCCTCCTGAAAAGCATGACCTGACAGGTCATCGTAGTCCTGTCACGCGCGTTGCATTTCATCCTGTTTACCAAATCCTTGCCTCTGCTTCCGAAGATACCACCATCAAGATTTGGGATTATGAAACGGGCGACTTTGAATGCACCCTTAAAGGACATACAAAAGCTGTACAAGATCTTGCCTTTGATCCCAAGGGCAACTACCTTGGTAAGTACATCTATTTATTTTTGTATGATCAATGAAATCTTATGCCATGAATTATAGTCTCGTGTTCGGCTGACTTGACTATCAAGGTGTGGGATGTGAACAACGATTACAAGTGTATCAAAACGCTCTATGGTCACGATCACAGCGTCTCCTCTGTTACCTTCCTTCCTTCCGGTGATAAGATCGTTTCGGCTTCCAGAGACAAGACCATCAAAGTCTGGGAATTTGCATCTGGGTATGTAGATCATCATCATATGAATGGACATGCACACATACTTACCTCTGGTCCTTATCATCAGCTATTGTACTAAGACATTCACTGGACATCTCGAATGGGTTCGCTCGGTCGTTTCAAGCGAAGATGGTCGGTTATTGGTCACTGCATCCAATGATCAGGTAAGCAATGTTTTGTTATCTATAGCAAGATAGCCCATTTATCTTATGCGAAATTGTTGGCTTATTAGACGGCTCGATTGTGGGATACCCAAACTGGTGAATCCAAGGTTGAATTCCGAGGACATGAACACGTTGTCGAATGTGCCATATTTGCACCCAGCAACGCATATCCTTACATCCAAGAGATGGTGGGCGATGAGGTATACTATCAAGATGGTTTTACTTTGATACGATTTATCTAACTATTTATATCTATAGTCCAAGTCAAAAGATGCTGGTGCCCCTGGTCGTTACGTGATTACAGGCTCAAGAGATAAGACAATCAAGGTGTGGGATAGCAGTGGGCAACTTTTGCATACGCTTGGTGGTCATGACAACTGGGTGCGAGGATTGGTGGTTCATCCTAGTGGCAAATACTTGCTTAGTGCATCGGATGATAAGACACTCAAGATTTGGGATTTGAAAACGGGTCGCTGCATGAAGACATTGGAAGCACACGATCATTTCGTTACTTGCATAGCGTGAGTATTTTGTGGAAAGCACAAAAGATAAGATGGCTAAAACGTGATTGCTATAGTTATTGTATGATCAGCCCTGTGGTGGCGACTGGAAGCGTGGATCAAACTGTCAAGGTCTGGCAGTGTCGATAATGGGGATGGCGTGCTTGCACACACACATTGGATGCCGCTAAAGTTGTATCGTTCCATCACCACCATCTTTAGAGCAAACATGTGCCTTTGTTGGTGTTTGTATGTATAATCAGGGGAGGAAAAGTTGCTTTCTTTTTCTTTTTTTTCTTTTCTTGTTGTATAACTTTTTCTTTCTCTCTTTCCTTTCTCCCATTACTTTCGTGTCTTTGCGTTCGAGCTTCTTCCAATATACCAATCTCGTCGTAAAAGGATCCCCCTTTCCTTCTTTCCCTCCCCCCTCCCTCCCCACCATTTTTTCCTTCTCCCCAAATACAATCTATATTGCTACCTTAATCATCACATGTTCATCATGACTGCCAAACATTCCATGTGCACCACTCTTATGGCACGTGGACACAAATAATGATTTGTAAGAGAAATAACAAGAAGGGATGAAAGGGACATGTACCTATTTGACAAGAACCCATTTGAATTGGAGTTTCATTATGATGCCAAGAGTCCGCGGGCATCATGCTGTTGCAGGGGGTGGATGAATCTACATGTCTAATTGTCACGTGGTCACAAGCTACATACATTGATCATGCTACAAATCACTATGGGTATTGGATCCACTGAAATGCAACAGCCATTGAATGAAGATAATGCTTAGATAACGAATGTGGCATCGGCAGATCTCCAAAATGTGGGGCTGAAAGACAAAAGAGCTTATCTAAAAGAGGAAATAGCCACCGAGATAAACAAGTGGTGTGGTGTGTTCGAACATGCACGGCCATGCCGATATGCATAAGTACCAGAAGATTCGTTCTCATATAGTAGATAGTGTTGCTTATACCCATGGGGTACATTTGAGGAAGGTTTCAATGGGTTCCTGTAAACCCCGAGCCAATACAGCAAATATAAGTGTTCACACGGCCCTGGCTATCAAGATCATCATATACGAGGAACCCGCCTGTACGTTTAACCTTGCTCATCAAGAGATCGATTCCCTTTGCATACAATAAACTATAAAACTTGGGTGCATGACATAAATCCTTCTCACCTCCTATGCATACCTTTGATGATCCAGCTACTATAATAGTGTGGAGAAGTAAAACCAACCACTGATACCCTATGATCGATATTCATGCCCCGCCCTTCTATATGAGAAATAGAGATAGTAAACAATGACAAGGGCTTCTTTATTATCATGTCAAAGAATGATGGTTATAACAAAGAAACGGTGTAATTCGGAAATGGGATACATCATGTGGAATATCATCAAGGGAGGATAACGTAATGCAAATAGTGATGCTGTTGGTGTTCATTACAATCCCGGCTTACCCCGCAACAGATTGGTGTGACACTAGCATGGCTGGGTAATCGCGGCAAATCTCCTGTGTGGTTTTATTGCTGACATATTTTCAATCAACCGCCGACCTGGATTGACTTTTTATATAAGCCGACAAAGGATCCCTTGATTTCTTTTCTTCTTACCTCCCCACCTTTTTATCTCGAATAGCAGTAACATGGCTCTTCGTGCTCTCGGTCTTCGTAACGTCACTCGCCTCTCTCAAAGAACTCCCATCACTGCCACTCCTCGCATGGTAAGTCATTGTGACAATAACATGGGGCGATCACAGCATCCTTATTGTTTGACATGTTGAAACTGACGAGGGTATCTTTCGTTTCAGGCTATGCCACGCCGGATGATGGCAAGTGCTCAACCTTCTCCCAAGACCCCTCTTGATGCAAGTGCTCCTGGTCCCATGTTGCGCTATCAAGCCAACTTGCCAAAGTTGCCTGTGCCAGCTCTTTCTGCCACCTTGCAAAAGTACTTGAAGACCGTTCGTCCCCTTGTTGGTGATGAGGAATACAAGCGTACCGAGGCTGCTGTAAAGGAATTCGAAACCAGTGGTATTGGTGCCAAGCTTCAAGATCGTTTGGTTGCTCGTGCTCAGGATCCCAATGTTGTTAACTGGCTTGAGGATTGGTGGCTCGAAGGTGCTTATATGGGTTATCGTGACCCTGTCATGATCCATGTCAGCTACTTTTTCTACTACAAGGATGACAAGTTGCGCAAGATTCCCGCCAAGCGTGCTGCTGCTATCACCACTGCTGCTTTGGAATTCAAGCAACAAGTCGTAAAGTAAGTATATTGGATGGCAGTGTGTATATGAAAGAGACCATATTAATAAGGGTTGTCGTTTTCATAGCATGACCTTGGAACCCGAATATGCCAAGGGTGAACCTATGTGTATGGATTCTTACAAGTACATGTTCAACAACTGCCGTATCCCTCGCAAGCCTGCTGATCTCGAAGTTGCTTATGACCCTGCCAAGCACTCTCACATCATTGCTATTCGCAAGAACAAGTTTTATGTGATTGATACCATCCACAATGGCCGTCAATTATCTACCAATGAGCTTGAGAAGCAATTTGAACGAGTCATTGAGCTTGCTGGTAATGAAAAGGGACCTGCTGTTGGTGCGTTGACAGCGGAAAACAGAGATGCTTGGACTGAGGTAAGGTATAATTTTGGGAAACGCATATACAATTTTCTAAAACCACGAAATTCTAGTACCGAGATGCTTTGATCGCGGCTCATCCCGACAACAAGACTCTCCTTGAAAAGATCGAATCTTCCTCATTTGTTATGTGCCTCGATGACAGCAAGCCTATCACTCGTGATGAAGGTTCTCGTGCATGCTGGCACGGTGATGCTCGCAACCGTTTCTTTGACAAGCCTTTGCAATTCATTGTCTTTGAAAACGGCAAGGCTGGTTTCAACGGTGAACATTCTTGCATGGATGGTACTGCCACGTGCCGCTTGAACGAATACGTCACTAGCAGCATCGCTGCCAACACTGTCAACCATGGCCCTGAAGAGATTCGTTCCGATCTTCCCGCTCCTGAGGAAATTCGCTTCAACTTGAATGATCAAACCCAGCAAGCTATTCAATCGGCTGAACAAAACGCTGATGCTCTTATCAACAAGCATGAGTTGACTGTGCTCGCTTATCAAGGCTTCGGCAAGGATCAAATCAAAAAGTTCAAGTCTTCCCCTGATGGCTTTGCTCAAATGGTGATCCAACTTGCCTATTACAAGATGTTTGGCACCAACCGCCCTACCTATGAATCCGGCCAAACTCGCAAGTTCCAACGTGGCCGCACTGAAACCTCTCGCACTGTTAGCGAAGAATCCATTGCTTTCTGCAAGGCTATGGAAGATCCCCACGTCTCCAACGAAGATAAGATTGCTGCTTTCCGTGCCGCTGTCAAGGCTCAAGGTGCATACATGGCTGACTGTGTCAATGGTCATGGTGTCGATCGTCACTTGTTCGGTTTGAAGAAGGCTCTTCAATCGGGTGAAGATACTCCTTCCCTCTTCACTGATCCCAACTATGCTTACTCCCAACACTGGTACTTGTCCACTTCCCAATTGTCTTCGGAGCTCTTTGATGGATATGGCTGGGGTCAGGTGGTCGATGATGGTTTCGGTTGTGCTTACATGATCAAGAAGAAGGCTTTGCAATTCAACGTTGCCAGTGTGAAGGATCTTGAGGTTCACGGTACCAAGTATGTCAATGGCACTCATCAATTCAAGCAGTGTCTCGAGGATGCTGCCAACGACCTTGGTGATCTTTTGTCTACCGAGTTGGCTGCTGAAGCTAAGCTCTAGATTTCATATATATGTTATTTTATTATGGATTGATTCCCTTACACTCCCTTCATCATCACCACCCATTGCACCTCACCACTATTATTTCATCACCACTCTCGCATCATATACACAATCACACTCACTCACAACTACCTCCCCCCACGTCATCGCTTGTATACATTGAAAAAGGTGCATCATTATTGTAAAGAAAAAAGGAGATTATTTTATACACACAAAGGATAAAAGAAATGATGTAATCAAACACTGTTCCTCTTTTGCTGTTGAATCTTGTTAAGAACACTTTCAAGTTCTTGGATGCGGTGCCGATAGGTGTTGACGTCTTGTTGTAGCAAACGAATATGATCCACGGATTTACGTAGAATGGCCCCCTTGTTGGGTTTGTTGCTTGTACCACCTGCACAATTGCTGTTACATTCCTCAAGCATGGGCTCAGGTAACAAGCTTCCCAATTCTTGGATACGATCATTGATGTTTTCCCGACGCCTCCTTTCCACTATGTACATAGGCAGCAACAGCGTGTGAGCTTTTCATAAAACAATTGAGGAGAAAGGATATGTACACATTACCTGCATTGTGAGATTCTCGTCGTCGTCGTTTCTTTTCCATCATAAGCTGAAGACTAAAGAAAGACCATGTACAATGTCAGCTCATTCCCCTATTTTGATGCTTATCATTATGATGCTTACTTCATCTGCATTGCATAATCATCCTGTAAACTACCACCAGTAGAAGCGTCAAATTGTTGTTGCTGTTGTGGTAAGGCCACCGCAGGGTTCATGTTGTACAAATCACTGAGCCCGATATCTGCCGGTGCAGACATGGGGAATGGATGTCGTGCCACCATGCGCGGTGGAGGCGAGTCATAAAATGACGACGACGATGCTGCTTGTGCTTGTGCTTGTGCTGCTGCGGGATTATAGTAATCATCTTCCATAAGATATCGTGCTTGGCTATATGGGTGATGATGGTGTTGCTGTTGCTGCTGCTGTTGGTGTTGAAGAAGGCTGTTGTTGTTGTGATGGACGTGTTTTTTATGGCTGTGAGTCGTGTATTCGAAATCATCAAAGTCGTGAATGGAACCCCCTGTGGCTGCAAAGTCATCCCCACTGCTACTGTAATCGACAGGCTGTGTGGATGATGATGACCAATCTTGGTTACTTGTATTATTGGATGAAGCCATCAAATGGTATGCAGTAGGATTGTGTAATTTACTAGGTTGTGTAGATGTTGACATGGCGATAAAAAAGATAAAGTAGAGAAGAAGAACGTTGAAATGCGAAAAAGAAGAGTGGGAGGGAAATTAAGAGAGTCGCTGCGGTGATAATGGTGTGTGTGTGTGTGTGTGTGTGAATGAGACAGTCGATGATGGTTTCTTTTTACTTATTGAAGCAGTATCGAGTCATCTGAGTAGGCCCAGGGACCAGGCACATGACTACACATTATATTCTACAGTAAAGTAATTCAATTCTGGGGGTCTTAGTTATACGTTGTGAGGGAGAAAATGAGCAACGGATGATCGCTGTGGCAACATGGTTGTACGTGGAATGTCAAATGGCGTGTTTTGCGTTGTTTCCTTTTTCCTCCCTCATCGTCATAGCATGGGATGCATGGTTACATCGTATGGGAACACAAGCGGGAAACATGAGGCATCTTTTTCATGCAGCTTCGTCTCTTTACAAGGAACGACAACAACAACTCAAGCAGTTCCCTTATTCTCCCAAAGCCATGTGCCCACGTATGACCCCACTTTCTATACTCGTCATTCATTATGCTCAGCGATCCATGTTGAAGACTACGACTACCATTCTCGTCAATCGGTACGCCATCATGCACTTCGTTCCCCAATGTCAACAACGATCCGGGGTGTCCATGTGGCCATGACGCACCTTTTCACCACCAACTTTGTCTTTTTCTTATTGCAGTACACTCTTCCTATCTCATTGTACTTGGCAACGAGCGTCTTCATTGTTATTTATATCACCATGCGCTCATGGATGGATGGCATTCACGTAACGACGACAACCAATGAAGGTGGATATCGTTGACATCATCCAAGCCCCAGCATCGAAAGCGGGAAGCATCACATGGATCACATCATCTCACTCTTTCTCTTCTTGCTCTCTCTCTTGCTCTCTCGTCATCCAGCGCCACTAGTTTTGCACAACAATGACCCCGTGCATCTTATGCAAAATGATGCTCCTCCCCAATCCATTTGGCTTTTCCCCTTCTTTTTTCCCCAACTAAAGGGATGATCATCCACCTTCTTTACACCAATCAACTACCACGTGAGCACCAAGATTATGTCTGTGCGTCATTTTGTCTTGGCTACAACACCTCCCCCCACCTTCGACAAGAGCAATCCTTTCTCTCTCTCTCTTTCTACTAGCTCAACTCGGGATATTGCAAGTGATTGAATAAACATGCATCATCGTATTACAATGAACCAATTTCATGGATCAATGGATTTTCTTCTTTCACAACTCGGGTCCGGATGATGAGGATGGTAACAGCAATCAACAGCGGTGGTGCATGGATACCCACCTTTTACATCTTGCATACCGACACCTACATACTGCTACATACAACCATAAGAGAGGAACATGATGTTGTAAGGTTTGACACACCCAATTTGGATGTCTTCATATATAGCCAGCATACCACAAAACTCGCTCAAATCTGCCACGTTGCAAACAGGAAAAGGGCATTGAGTAACCCTTTTATCAGCTGATGACCCACCAAAGTACGCCTCTTTGTGCACCCACTACTGATGCGATGCAATGCAATGCGACTCGTTAAATGGCAATGAGTTTCAATTTCAACCAACACACAAACGCTCTGCAGTATGAGGATCAAAATATGGGCGCCACATGGAGACACACACACACACACACACAAGCATTGTAGATCAATGAAGCCAAGCCCATCACCATCAATACCCTTTATGGATCCCGATAAAGAGCATTTATACAATAGCTTGATGTCGTTTTGAAAAAAATGGTATATAAAAATGGATGATGCCAATTTAAAAGTGTATATTATGACCCCTTGGATATTGCAAAAGGATAAAAGGCAAAGTAGTCTCTGGCTGCTGGGTGATGGATGGGTTGCTCTGGTGGGTTGAAAACTCGTGATGGTTGACATTGGATGATGGTGGGTTGTTGTTGTTGTTGTTGTTCAGCCATTTATCGACGACATCATTACATTCGTAAAAAGGGCGAGTGAACCTTGGCGATGATGATGGTGAAGGTGAAATGATGGGTGAGGATGATAATGATGAAGATACATCTTGGTGGTCATTTTGTGTTGGTAACGTCTCTGTTGAGGGATAATGATACTTTGCTGTGCACGACGATGTAGTCGTTGTCATGAAGGATCGTTCACGCTTCTCCATCAGCTCTTGAAGAAATTGATATCTCATTTGCGCTGATAATCGACGTCGTGGAGATGGACTAGGTGAATGAACTTTGAGATGACGACGCAAGTTGCTTTGAACCGTAAAATCACGCCCACATCCTTGACTATATAAAAAGCTCATGAATACATACATAACATAGATAAGTAAGATATACGTACACGTGGCATTTAAAAGGTCGTTCGCCTGTGTGTGTGTACATGTGTGTCAAAAGTGCGCTCGGTCGACCAAACTTCTTTTGACAGACCGAGCATTGATGTCGCTTCTTGCCTGATTGATGATGATGATGATAATCGGATGACATTTTGACAGTGAAAGAAAGAAAAGGAAAGACCTAGAATGCCAAAATCGACGAGTTAAAAGTAAATTATATACGACGACGCGTGGCGTGGGTAGTGAAACGTGTTATTATATAGATGCATGTGTATAACTTCTATGTTGTATGTATGTATACATACACAACTTTACACCAGCCCGCGGTTCGGTACCTTGAACCCGATTACCAATAGCTTACTGGTTCCCCCATTTCCGCAGCGATGCTGGTCCATCCGGCCGATGTCGCATTATTCCGACAGAAAAAAGCTTAAAAAATATGCACATGCTTATTGTAACGAGAAAGAAATAAAAGGAGAGATCGATGGTCGCTGCAGGTATCAAGGTAGGCCACGAAGGAGTAAATAACGTGAAAGCTCGTAATATAGACATCAAGTGGTATCATCGTCTCTCCTTGCAAATGATCAAGATCTCTCACAAAAGGAGTATTCGAGTGATTTTGGCAAATTTCTAATGTCGCATAATGCCTAATCTACTTTAAGGGACTTGTGTTATCGGCCATCAATGTCTCCACATGACCCGATCGACGATGAATCAGCTTACAGATGTAATCACAACATCGTCCCTTACATTTTGTTTCATGAGGCCCTATCAATGGAGAGGTGAGTGGATGCGATGGAATCTCGCAATCCCCTAAGTTCACTTTTTTTGATCGAAGGTAAACATGACGCAAGTATTTGAACTTTATTGTGAACGGCATATCCTCATTGAGTAGTTGGCAGCTTCTTTATGGGGTTATTCCGACAAGGAGAGGCGACAGAGATAGAGAGGGATGTAATGTGAGAGAATAATTATGCTAAGCTTTGTCAGTCTGAGTCCGTATGTATGTAGACAAAGAAAAGATAAAGTTGGCAAATGGATTTATTTATGTGGTGCATACGAGGAGCCTTCATACATTTATTCCATAAAAGTCAGCTACATGCAGAGCATGGTTTTCTTTGTTTCTATCAATTTCATTCTCTTATCGTATGATCGTGATGATGATTCCCCTTAACGCCCAAAATTAAGTCCTTACTCTTTCAGCTTTATATAAGGATAATGCAAGATTTCATGGTCAGCGTTATCAACAACGAAGCAATAGCCCAACCCAATTCGCCGTGCTACTACTGCGATCGGCAGAATGTGCGTGTGTGTCGGTATGGCGGGGTGGAGGTGGATAATTTCCCAGCCGGGGGAATAGATCCGAAGAGGAGTACACGATCGACATGATAAGCAAGCAAAAAGTACGTACATGGATTCAACATGAAGATACACAAACAATGACAGGATATCAATGTGGCATCATCATGCTTGTTTCTCCCGAGTGACAGCTATTTATTCCTTTTACCACTCCTCCAGCGGCAGTAGTGTATTGCTCACGTGGGAGAAATGATTCTATACTTGTATTAGAGGAAGCGCATGGTCAATCGGGATTAGTTCATAAAACACAAAGTATAGCCAAAGTCATAAAAGAAAGGTTGAATCCCAGGGTAATCACAAGCATCATGTTCCATAAAGTGCTACTCAAAGTGTGATCCGAGCTGCAAAAAGATCATAGCATTTTCGATATCAGCGGCGCTGATGTCCGAGAAAGTGAGCTTTGTGTGAGTGAATGAGTGCGAGAAAGCGTGTATTAGTCCCATTAAAAAATCCTGGTTGTAGGGACCAACCCAGTGCCGCGACCAACAGGCACACTTTGTACAATCAATTTTGTGTAGCCATTGGGATTGTGTAACCCCGTCATCGCTCGTACTAAAATTACTTTTTATTGATGACGAGGACACCGATCGACGACGACGACACAAGTTATTGCCCATACACTTCCTCAGCTGGTATTAGTGCATTCACATTTATAGGCTTTTTATTCATGCAATGGGGGGGCAGCATTATGTAGATGCTACAATACAAAGATGAAAGAGTCAACCGTATACTACATACTTTGGGTCGTAGTTGAAGATCGTCATTATCGCTGTCCAACACAAAAAAAGAAGCCAAGTCAGCAAGTCCGCTTACACAAGCGATCATTTTTGTCTTTTCTGCATTTGTGTTGTTGCTGCTGTTGAGTGTGGTCATCTTTCTCTCTTTTCTTTCCCTTTTTCTCATCACCCATACAAACATTTCTCTCCATGAGGCTCGAAGTGTCTCAAGCCTTTTCCCGGGGAACCAAATATTTTCTCGTCTTTTACACTATCATCTCCTTGATCCTTACTGCAAGGCACTTTTATTCATATCATGCTTCCGAAGGTACCGACGACGATGCTGCCATCTTTCCGAGAGCCGATGAGAACAAAGCGGAGATCCCTTTGCTGAACTCTTCTTCTTCTTCTTCCTTGTCGCATTCCAAGAATTCGTCGTCGCAGCTGCAAGTTGACCATCAAGCTCTTGCTCAGTCCTCCGATTCGTCTTCGCATCCTGATGTTGCATGGCCACTTGACAATGGTAAGAAGACCGTGCGCATATCAAGGGGGTCAAGGAGGGTTCAACACTCACCTATCTCATTCCTTCTTAGGCTACAGCCAACGCATGGACGAGGACTATGTACTATCCAAGATCTTTTCAGAAGCTATGGGACCTTCCAATCTCACGCCATACTATCGCCGAGCCAGTGCACTTGTGGAAAAGAATGATATCACCATGGCAACATTGGTGACACGAAATCGTTTCAAGGTCTTGAGTCGGTTAGCAACGCATTACAAAGGTACCACATTAATCGATGTGTGGAATGGGGTGGGGGGTAGAGAGATGATATCGACTAAACGCTTTTGTATGATACAGGCCCCATCTCGGCAGCCATCCATGTCAATGATGATGATAGCAAGCAAGAAGTGTTGGACGAGCTGCATGCTGTGTACCAAAGCAACCCCGACATGCAATCGTATGTGGACATTCATTTGATGTTGGACAACTTTGATCGACAATTCAACCTTTGGCGTAATGTGGCCAAGTTTTTTGCACGTACGGATTATATCATGATGCTCGATGTGGATTTCCATTTATGCACCAACTTTCGCCAACGTATCCGCAATGATCCCAAAATCATGGCCTTGCTCGATTCGGGTTCAGCCGCGTTGGTTGTACCGGCTTTTGAATATGTGGCCGGCGAGGATGGTCTCGATTGGCGTACCTTCCCAACCAGCAAATCTAATCTCCTGGAAGAAGTCGAATCAGGCAAACTTGACATGTTCCACAAATCCTGGTTGAGAGGACACGGCTCTACCAACTACACAAAGTGGTATGCTTCCGATGATTTGTACAAGGTCGTCGATTACAACTTCAGCTATGAGCCATACATCATCTACAAAAAGGAAGGGTCGCCATGGTGTAGTGAACGTTTCATTGGTTACGGTGCAAATAAGGCAGCTTGTCTCTATGAGATCTACATTTCTGGTATCGACTATTGGGTGCTCCCTGATGATTTCTTGATTCATCAAACACATGAATATCCAGAGGCAACACGGAGAAAAGAGGTAAAGATCCATGATGGGGGCCTGTGGTACAAAGGTTATGTGTATACTCATGCATGCTATTACCTTTCCTTTTTAGCGCCAATACAATCGAAAACTCTACAGCAACTTTAGGGAAGAGCTGTGTCTACGATATGCACGGTTATTCGTTTCCACAGGTGACTGGGACTCCTCCAAGGCCGACAATCTGCGAGATCAATGCCACCGCATCCGCGGTTTTCGCTCAGCAATGAACCTTGCCTAAGTTTTATGTTTTCCCCGTAACGACTTTTGGGCTCTTGTACCATATTCGTTTTCTTGCTTTCCCATATCCCTTATCTAATCCTTCTTCCTCACGCATATTCTTTCTCACATTTTACTCGCACCCACATTCAAACTTGTTCATCCTCACGCAATGCGTTCTTTTTCTTTTCTTGTATTCATATTATTTATACAACGCACACTCTTCATTTACTTCACAATTAGACTGCATTATAAAAATCCAGTATCCATCATCACATGATTGATTCTCGTATCCATGCACGAGCTTAAATTTTGCAACGCAGCTTATCATCATCATGTAGTGGAACCCATCATGGTAGTGGAGAAAGGCGCTACTTGAACTACACATGCCGACAACAAAAGAGAGCTCAAAGAAGTTGAAAGGAATGACACGCCACTTTTCTTTAAGCGTCTTTGCACGCTAATGAAATCCGTTCATCATCACGTATCGAAGCGGAGTGCTTGTATCATTGACCCAAAAGCTATCACCTGTACTATGATGAAGGAGTTGCCGGTGATTGATCTTGTACATACGTTATGCTGTTAACAACATTATGAAGCACGAGATGCTTGGAGTGTTTCCATGGAGACGATCACCCACATAATCCAATATAGCTTTCAGGAGACGATTGCGGATGGCAACATTGTTATGCGACCTTTGTTTCCCGGCATGACCACTCTCCTTGGTAACACAAGCCTCGTTCACTGTATGCATGTATCCATGGTGGCAGCTTCAAATACCCAAAGTCCATTCTTTACGATAATTCAATAAAGGATGATCACAATGGCCTTTTGTGGTATTGCTAAGGAGGATGACCTTTTAGAATGACGTATACATAACGTAAACTCCAACAGCATGCAATTGGAACGCCTCATATTTGGCATTCATTTTCTTAGATTTCGCAGCAAAATGAGATTGCTATTGTGCAAGAACAATCATGCGGAAGTTTTTTCGTTACGGATGATGCAGGAGAAAGAGTAGCCAGGGCACAGCACACGCCACCCACCAGATCAAGGTTGGGTCAGGTGACACAAAAAACAATTGCCAAAGTGGGGCGCACCATGTTGTTGTTGTTATGAAGAATGTACGTGGATGTGATCAGACAAGTTGCAAATGCCCTTTTTGTACTAGAGGATGTTTACACTTGTGTCCCTTTTCGGCAACTGTTGTCGTCGTTCCCTTGTGGGCAACTCTGACAGTGCACGCATGAATGGGGATTAATCTCCTAAGCTCATAGGCACACACACACACACACACAATCGTGCGTATACAGGTGGCTGTTCCTTTGTTCTTTTGCTTCTTTTTCTTTCTTTCTCTTACATTACTTGTCTTACATGTCTCCATGGCTACCAACAATAACCCACTAAAACAATTATCGGTCATGGCTGGCAAGGATGGCCTTTCGAGCCTCCACATCCCCACCATCACTGATGGCGCTGAAGACGTTGTTGGTAAATATCGTCCCTACGATGTTGATTGTCGGAAGAATATTTGTTCATAACACACAAACTGAACGTATCCATCATAGGCTTGCAAGGTAGAATCGACTTTCAACACTTGATACAACCTACGATAACTCGCATCCTCACCCTTTCTTTTATATCCATAAAGGACGCATTCGATTACAAAAGGACCATAACATTGTCAACAGCCGAGGACTCGATAAAATAAGAGAAACGTTGCAGGCATACGAATACCTATGCCATATTGGTGAAGCAAAAGAGTAAGCGTTGAATCCATCACAACAAGCACAGCAATGCACTCATCATCATTTTGTATAGATGGATTGAGAATTGTTTACAAGAAACAATTGACCCAGTCATTCAACTTGAAGAGACCATGCGAAATGGCATCATATTGGCCAAGCTAGCTGCTTGGTTCACTGATGGAGTAGTCAAAAAGATCTTTTACGTAAGTAAGATTCATTTGCTTAATACATCGATCCTTACTATCAGTATTTCCTATCACAGGGCAAAAGGCTTGAATTCCGTCATTCGGATAATATCAATTACTTTTTGGAGGCATTGGCTGTTGTGCGATTGCCAGACACCTTTTGGTTTGAGTTTACCGACCTTTATGATAAAAAGAATATCCCACGAGTGATTTACTGCATCCACGCTCTCAGGTAATTGTCATCACCCTTTCTCCCAACAAACGCTCACCCCTCAATCTCCATATGTAGCCATTTGCTAGCAAGACGTAACTTGGCCCCTAGTATTAAAAATTTGTATGGTCAATTACAATTCACAGGTGAGCATCAGGCACGCTGCTATGAAAAACTCCCGGTAATGATAACACGATGGCTGCTATTTAGATGAGGAACTTCATGCAACACAGCGAAACCTGGATTCATGTGGCACCAATATTCCCAACTTTATGGATCTTCGCCCATCGTTGTACAAAGAGCTGCATGGTGATGATAGCTTCCGACACCATGATGATCATCGATTCAATAAGAGTCCCACCACACCCGATTTGATCATTGAAGAAAGCGATGAAAGTGATCATGAGACAATGACAGAGCAAGAACGTAGGTTTTTTATATGCAAGAATGATAAAAAGACTAATCAAGTTGTAGGATTTGAGCTCTATTGGTCTGATTCCGAGAACTTGGAAAGGCTCAAGACCTGTCAAAACATAGCACGCAAATGGTTGGCGCATCGAGAAATGGAGCGACAGCGTCAGGAGCTGCATAAATCCACCTATGTCGTCTCGCATCTATCACGTGTACAGGCTCATGCACGTGGTATGTTGCAACGTCGTGATATGGAGGACAAGCACATCACCTATGAGAGTTCCGAAGATTGGGTCATCAAGGTAAATACAAAAGCGAGGCATCTTAGAGTGGGAATTACTTACAATCTTTTATCCATAGTTGCAAACGCATGTGCGTGGCTGTCTTGCACGATTGAATTACAGGCACACGTTGGATCATTACAATGAGCATCTCGACAAGGTTATCATGGTGCAGAATTTTGTCAAGAACAAGATGATGGGCAAGGCCTATCGTAGATTGAGTAAGATGGGAGGAAAGGGAAATTGGATCACGTGTCTTACCTGTTCTTCATTGTCATGCAGCATCCGATAGCAATCCATCCATTGGCACTGTCAAGAATTTTGTACACTTGCTGGATGATAGTGACCTCGATTTCGATCGTGAGCTTGGTATGTTGATTCTCCTCTTTCTTGCACAAACCATATCACTCATGCCTACCTGTTCCAGCTTTGGAGGACTTGCGTCAAAAGGTCATCCAACAGATTCGCGAGAATGACCAAATGGACGCCCATGTCAATGCACTCGATATCCAAATCTGCCTCTTCTTGAGAAATGCAATCACCATTGACGAAGTGGTCAAGAGCACCAGCGCATTCAAAAAGAAGCAACAACGTCGTCGCATGTCTGAACTTGCTGCCAGCACACGCAAAAGCAACCCGTATTCCCTTCGTGGTGTTGACAAGGAATCGCGTACACGTCTTGAGTTGTACCAACGCCTTTTGTATCTCTTGCAAACTGAACCAGGCTATCTTGCACGCATGCTATCCATGTGTGGTCGTCGTGAACTTGATTCATCCATCAGCACGCGTTTGATCGAATCCACCGTACTCAGCTTGTTTGGATACGCTACCAATGCACGTGAAGAGTATTTGCTTATCAACCTTTGCAAGGTATACGTCAAACATGGGTACCACGCCCTCTATGATGAATGATGTTATTGATCAATCGCATTTTCCAATTTCCAGTGTTGCATTGATGAAGAATTGTCCTATGTGGAGAATGCTCAAGAGTTCATGCGTGGCAATTATACATTTATGAAATTGGTGGTACAAACCAACAGGTATGCGTATGAGGAGGACGAAGAGGAGGATGCCTTTGTTGATACCCCAAGATCTAAACAACAATTTCTCGTTATAGAGGAGCAAAGGAACGCATGTTCTTCCGCCGATTGTTGACTCCCTTGGTGGAAAGCATTGTGCAGGATGAATACCTGGATCTTGAAACCGACCCTGTGGCTATCTATCACAAGGTGATCAATGAGGAGGAATCACGTACGGGTCGACCCTCGATGAGAAAGCATTCTGCAACGGTGCAAGAGGCTCTTCAAGATCAAGAAGTGTGTGACACTTTCCTTATGCATCTGCGTAACCTTCGAGAGATCACAACACGCTTCCTCAACGCCATCACATCTACAGTCGATGAAGTCCCTTATGGTATCCGCATCATTGCAAGAAAATTGCGAGTTGCTATGGAAGAATCATTCCCCGAGGAAAAGGAGCAGGCAGCCCGCATCATTGGCAACTTTATCTACTACCGCTATCTCAATCCTGCTATCGTGTAAGTGTCATAGTGTATGGATGAAACCAAAAGACTGATGAAACGGTGCTTGTGTTTTTTAGTGCCCCTGAGCAATACGATGTTATTGATGCTGTCGTTCTCCCTGTGCAACGGAAAAATTTGGCAGAGGTAAAGAAAGGTGCATATGCATATGTACACAAACATGTAAGATGACCGGTTTTTTATGTTTGTTAGGTGGCAAAGATGCTTCATCAGATCTCAAGTGGCAAAAAGTTTGATGCCGACAACATGTTTTTGGCACCTTTGAATGAATACGTACGCAAATCATCGGATGTCTTTGAGCAATGGTTCATGAAATGTACGTGGATGATGAAAGGATGATTGAAGGGATTGTGTACTTAACCTTTTATCCCATAGTGACGGATGTCGAGGAACCTGAAACCTACTTTGATATCCCAGAGCTAAACGACCAGATGAGCACCCACAAGCCAACTGTGTATACGACCCCTTACGAGCTATTCCATTTACATCACGCGTTACAACAACATCTTGATGATTTGGAACCAGGACGGCGGAACGGGCCATTACAATCCTTATTGACTGAGCTGGGACCTTCACCCTATTATCCCCAACTTGAGCTACCCGATTCCATCCTTTGCCTAAAACTGACACACCCTTCGGATAATATTCCCATGGACCCAGCTGCACGAGAACGACAATTATTGGTTGATTCAAAGCGACTTGTCATTTATACCATCAAAATCCAGAGCGGCGAGTCATTGCAATCGATCCTTGAATCACCAACACCAGCCGAATTGGAAAGTGAATGGGAGGCGCTTAAGGCAATCGAATTTTCACAGCAAGAAGAAGGAGGCAAAACATCCAAACGACGCTTTGTCAAGCTGAGCCAAACCGATCCGCCTTTAGATTTACAAAGGTATGTAAACAAAGGAAAAGAGGGTGCAAAAAGGAAACATGTATACTGATACATTTATGTATAGCCTTGCTTTCCACCAATTGAAAGTGGTTACGAGCCGATTGTTGTATTATCTCACACGCACAGGTGCTATTTCAGCAGAGGGAGGATATCAGGAAATGATCAACATGATTGCACGCGATATCACTGGCAAAACATCCAGGAGGCAGCAACGTGACAATGAATTGACGAGGCTGGGACAAACATTGAAGAATGTGGTGCGAAAACGACATTATCTCACAGAGCAACGTACACAATACGAGGATTATTTGAAGGAATGCATGACCATCATGGCCAAGAAACGTGGTAGACGACCCAGATATGGATTACCATTCACGCGACAATACTTTCATGTGCGAGCACTCAAGAAGCAAGGATTGGAGCCAACCTTTGGATCATTTAAATACAGCGGCAAGCAGTTATATGAACGAGGGATCCTTGTGGATGTGGATGGGATCGAGCCCAAGGATTATGACAAGATCAACATTATATTGTCCATGGATACAGTGGGGATTATTACGATTGAGGGAGCTTATTCACGATGGCCCATTCCTTCTGTACAAGTGGATATGAGATATGAGGAGCTACTGCAAACACAATTTGAAGGTGCGCAGACCATGCAAGTGCTGGATGGCCTTGTCAAGGTCAATGTGAATCTATTGATTTTCCTTATCAACAAAAAGTAAGTGGCATGGGGAGATGGATGGAGGAGGATAAGAAGAACCTTGTTGTATTGATTGATTGGCATGGTACTTGCAGATTCTACGCATGATCGACATAGCTACAACGTTCACCCTATAACATTTACTCTCACTCTCCATTAATAAACTTTTCAATCGACTTTCTCCGAACGCGTTTGTTCCACCTTGGTTTTTGGCTCCTGTGTGTGTATCCAACGGCGACCACGACCTCCTCCTCCTCCTCCTCCCCCCAAATAGCTACACCTTTTTCTTTCTCCCCCGTTCCTTTCGTTTTCATACATGACTCACGACGATACTCACTGCACTGTCTCCCTTGAAGGTGGTCGAGAAACTTTTACGGTTGAGAAAAAGTACAAGATTATACGCAGGGTCGGATCGGGATCGTATGGAACAGTTTGCAGTGCCATTGAGCTCGCCACCAATGACGGTAAATCTTCTAACGTTCTCACAACAACCCCAAGTGTGTCGATGCTAATGTCCATGTCCCCAAAGTGGTTGCCATCAAAAAGTGCTTTCGAATATTTGATAAGAAGCTTATCACCAAGCGGTGTCTACGCGAGATAAAGTTGCTACAGCATTTCAACGGCCATCCACGCATCATCAATCTACGTGCTCTTGATATCGTCGATTACCATGATTTTAATGAGGTGTACTTGATTCAAGATTGCTGCGATACGACCATGGCAGATATCATTCATTCACGACAACGATTGGAACCCGTGCATTATCAATGGTTCATGTATCAACTCTTTTCAGGTCTTAAATATATCCACAGTGCCAATGTGAGTGATCATCTTCTCTGTGTGTGGGTGTGTGTGGATAAGGATGATGGATCAATGTCGTCTCAACTCTACTGCTGCATAAATTAGGTACTGCATCGAGATTTGAAACCAGGTAGAGGCAATTGAATTCATCACTGATCAAACCCCACCCTAATCACCACCTCTTTCTTTTAGCCAACATCTTAGTAAACGAGAATTGTGATATACGGATTTGCGACTTTGGTATGGCGCGTGGCTATTCTTCACAATCCTCACAGTTGGAAGCCATGAATATGACACATTACGTCGTGACACGTTGGTATCGAGCTCCAGAAGTCATGCTAAGCCCAAATACATACGACAAAGCAAGTAAGTATTGGCATTGATTCCATTCATTTTATGGGATGCTAAATCATGTTTTCTAGTTGACATGTGGTCTGTGGGATGTATTTTTGCCGAGCTATTGGGACGCAAGGTGCTATTCAAGGGAACGGATTACGTTGACCAGTTGCACAAGATTGTGGGGATTTTGGGGCTACCGGAGGATACATCTTTTTGGGACAAGAACGCATCTGAATTTGTGATTGAATATATCAAGAACCTTCGAGATGGCGATGGCTTACCACCACCCAAGGAACCCATCGACTTTGGATCTTTGTTCCCTGATTGCCCATTGGAAGGAATTGATTTACTCAAGAATCTATTGCATCTCAACCCAGGATTACGCATCACGCCTGATGAAGCACTTGCACATCCCTTTGTGGAACAGATGCGGGATCCAGCTGATGAAGTGGATTGTCCAGAGACATTTGATTTTGAAAGTTTCGAATATTTACAAGAAGAAGAGGCGCTACGACGGAGTATTATACATGAAGTAATGCATTCCAAGGGGCTCCTCAAAGGAAGAAATCGACGATTACTCAGCGTTGAACCTATCGATACCGACATGGATTCATCCAACAAACGACCCAGACGACGCTATACTGGCAGCTCTATCTCAACACCTCATTCAGCATCTGCAACAGAAGCACATCAACATGCTATGGCAGCTGTACAACAAGGTCGTGAAATCACTGTGCAGGACACGGAAATGAATGAGGAGGGTAGCAGTAGTGGTGGCGGCATGATAACGGATCGATTTGTCGGTGAACCAGAAGACATGGATGAAGAAGACTTTAAGCTTATGGATAGCGATGACAGTATACGCGTTGAATATCGTCGTCGTCTCGTAGGCCCATCAGGTGCAGATGTTCAAGCTCTGGAACGCCATCTTAGTAGGGATTGGTAGATTCAATTGTATATCTCTTGTCCAAAGTAAAAGAAAAAAGAATGACTTTTGGTGTGTTTTTTCCATTTTTCTCAATTGAGGGCGATGGCGGAGGAGGAGCAGCAATGGTAACAATCGACTGAGTTGTCTTCTTGAACGCACATGTTCACCTGCTGCAAAAATACCTGAGCTTTCTTTTCCTTCCTCTCTCTCTCTCTATTCACGTTTATTATGAAAAAAGTAAAGAACGCTGCTTCAAGCATTAGCCTCAACTCGCCCATTCCAACCAGCTTGGCAGGTAATGCAATAGCAACAATGGACATAGCCACCAGCATACGATACTCATGTCCCGCAATATCCAATAGGTGAATGTAAAAAAGCAGCTCGCATTCTCAACAGCTTTATCGGTAAATGTCAACGATCGCACTATCTACAATGGATCAGTGGGCTCATGGCTAGCTCGTAGATCCCGGTCAAAAGCTGGTGGATAAGGTCATTCCACCCACTATCTTGGATAACGCACAAGGCTTGGCAATCTTTACAGTACTCAAGGCTGGGTAATATAGGATGAATTGGCTTTTATTGCAAACATGGATTAACAGTGTCTTGTGTAGTTTCTTGTTCACCGGTCGTGCAGGTAGTGGATTAGTTGTTGCAAGGTAATGGTTGTTGGGAAGGAATATTGGTTGACAGGGACACTAACGTTATCGTTGTCATGGATACGTAGGTTGCCTGATAAGAGTATGTATCACACATCTATTCAATTGAGTATTGTATATTGACAATGGCACACAATTGGATGATTAGGCTGGTCTGCCCCATCTGCTATTGCCACTGGAGGGTAAGTTTATCAGTTTCAGAATTATGATGAGCATGTTTTTTAACTTTTTTTTTATAGCGTGGGGGCTGGCGGACAGATTGGTGCTGAATTGACCGATTTCGTACTCGTGCTGAATACCAAGGAAGCTGTCAAGACATTCAGCCAATTTGGCAACATTACGCTTGGTGGTAATATCTCTGGTATGTTTCACAAGACTATTTAGCTTGCATTATCGATGTGTAGCACGTGATACGCTGATGCCATCATCATCCCTCCTTACTTGTTGTAGTGGCTGCTGGTCCTATGGGTCGTAATGCAGAGGCATCTGGAACGGCTAGCTTGAAACACATTGCTGCTGTATACTCTTACAGTAAAACCAAGGGTCTCTTTGCAGGTGTATCTCTTGAAGGCTCTGTCATCCTCACACGTAATGATGCCAATGAAAAGCTTTATGGTCAACGAGTTACTGCCAAGGAATTATTGAATGGATCGGTCGCCCCTCCACCCGAAGCAGACATGTTGTATCGTGCATTGAATGCAAAGTTCCATACGCTTGGCAATACGGGTGCTATGTATGCACGTAACAGTGCTGAAGGGTCACCACGTGCTTACAATTTCAAGAGCTCCAATATCTCGGCTCCTGGCACTATCAGACAACCACCTCCGCTAAGAAATCCACCATCCGCTCCAGCACCAACTTCCTCTTACAACAATCAACCACCACCTCCTTACACAGCACCTCCTCCATCATCTGCCAATAACAATTATTATGGTCAAGAGAAATCCCATTATCAACAACAACAACCTGCATCTTATGGTGCTCCTCCTCCTCCAGCTGCTACATCCAGAGCAGCACCACCTCCACCACCTCCGCCATTCCGAAAGCCACAACAACCAACAGCTCGTGCCTTGTATGATTTCACAGGTGAACAAGAAGGAGATTTAAGTTTCCGTGAAGGTGATGTTATTACAATTGTCGAGAAAAGTGATAGTCAAGATGATTGGTGGACTGGAAGCGTAAACGGTCGACAAGGCATCGTAAGTGTCAATGCAAATACGTTCATTGCATGGATGATGTGCTCATGCTTTTGCATAGTTCCCTGCCAATTATGTGCAATTACAATAGATTACGGTAGCAGTAGTAGCGGCATTCTTCCTCTTTCTCTTTACATTTATACTTGCTTACTAACAATACACACAACCTTTTATTCTTGGTCCTCAATGTAAATACTATTTTGTTGCTTGTGAACTATGCGGTGAATCGCCGACCATGTTTTATACCCGATTTGGGAGGCATGTCAACGCGATTGATAATACGAATTGCAGTGTGAGACTGTTGGGAAATGCTGCTTATATAAGGGTCACCAGCTATTATCCCACTCTTCTTCACCTCCCCACACTTATCCATTATGGCCACCAACAACCTCGTCGATATCACAAAGCTGTCTCCCAAGTTCCAAGACTTGTATGCCAAAGCCAAGGACTTTGTCGAGGTATTTCTATTATTGACTCGATGCGAATCGCTACCGCCCATGCACTTGGATACTCAATGTGTCAATTGTAGAATGACTGCATTCCTGCCGAGAAGATCTTTGATGCACAGATGGGACAGGGTGAGAACCGCTGGAAGGTATGTTTTTATTGGGCTTCATGAAGAGGATGATATGTACATAACTCATGCATCGTTTTTCTACATAGGTGATCCCCCCAGTGCTTGAAGAATTAAAGGCCAAGGCACGTTCGCTTGGTTTATGGAACTTGTTCTTGGGCAAGGATTACCCTGAAGGCCCTGGCTTGACCAATTTGGAGTATTCGTTGATTGCCGAGTTGACAGGTCGTTGTCCCAAACTTGCTCCTGAAGCCATGAATTGCTCAGCTCCCGACACCGGCAACATGGAAGTCTTTGCAAAGTATGGCACTCCTGCTCAAAAGGCCAAATGGCTTGTTCCTTTGATGGATGGCAAGATCCGTTCCGCATTTGCCATGACTGAACCCGCTGTGGCCTCTTCTGATGCTACCAACATTGAAACCAATATCCGTCGTGAGGGCAACGAATATGTCATTAATGGTCGCAAGTGGTGGATTTCGGGTGCTGGTGACCCTCGTTGTGCTGTGTATCTTGTCATGGGCAAGTCCGATCCTGATAACAAGAACCGCCACAAGCAACAAAGCTTGGTCATTGTTCCCGCTGATACTCCCGGCATCACCGTTGTTCGCCCCATGATGGTCTTTGGTTATGATGATGCTCCTGAAGGTCACTGCGAAATGATCTTCAAGGATGTGCGTGTTCCAGTGGAGAATATGGTACTTGGTGAAGGTCGTGGTTTTGAGGTTATTCAAGGTCGTCTTGGTCCTGGTCGTATCCATCACTGGTAAGTCTTGCATGACTTTATGTATGCATGTGTGACCATGTAGCTCATGCACATTCCCTCTCATTAGTATGCGTTGTATTGGTATGGCAGAGCGTGCTTTGGAGCTTATGATTACTCGTGTCACCGATCCATCTCGCCGCACCTTTGGAAAGAACCTTGCTGAACATGGCACCATTGTGCAAGATATTGCCGTGTCTCGTATCGAAATCGATCAAGCTCGTTATCTTGTCTTGAGTGCTGCTCAACGTATTGATCAAGTCAAGGCTAAGGGTGCTCTTAAGGAAATCAGTATGGCCAAGATTGCTACCCCCAACATGCTTTTGCGTGTCCTTGATCGTGCTATGCAAGCTCATGGTGCTGGTGGTCTCTCTCAAGATTTCCCTCTCGCCAAATTTTTCGCTTCAGCTCGTACCTTGCGTTATGCCGATGGCCCTGATGAAGTTCACAAGAACCAACTTGGCAAGGTTGAGTTGCGCCGTGCTGCCGACATTGCTGGTCGCATCAAGGCTCAAAAGGCTAAATCCGATAGTCTCATTGCCAAGCTCTAAGCATCCCTAACCGTTACCCCCCCCATCTTTTATCGCTATCCCTTTTACGCACACACACACAACTCGTTCCTCCACATATCTTTGTGATTTAATTGTATAAAGTGCAACGTTTCTTATGCCATCATGAAAAAAACACATGAACATATGAATTCAGAGGGATCATCCCTATGCAAGAGCTGTGATGGTTGGGAATATTTACGCTTGTGTACTATGCTTATCGACTATGGATATGTCAACGACTTCTCTTTATGAAACGAAGACTCACTCGATCAACGTCTTATGTAATGGAACGTGTACCTTGAGCACAGCAAGTGATTTGGGTGGTGCCATTGTTGGATGACCTTGTCTATCTCATATCCTGATGTATGCATGCACAATCAATCAGACCAAGAGTCTTTGTAATGGCTCATCATCATTCTCAACAGCTATTTTATCACTCTTTGTGGTCACAGAAATACCCACGCCCACCATGCCGATATAAACAAGATGAATGTTGTCATCCATGGCTTTTCTCTCTCTCACCTTTATCTTCCCATCATATCACTCTTTGATTACTGGCACCTTCAAAAGCCCTTGGTGAATGTCATGGTGAAGAAGAAAAGAGAATTTCCACCGAACGAACAATTATTGAGGCGTCTTACACCACGATCCATTGAAATTCTCTCAGCGGAAGTTGCAACAACCATCCACCAAATACGTGAAAACACCTTCACAATCACGAGGGTCATCCAACCTCGAGGCTGAAGAAGAAAATTTTCAGCTATCCCACAAGTAAATTTCACGTATACAAGTATCCCCATTGACAGCCTTGCAATACAGTATTACAACCCACATAGGGGGTGATGGTGATAAAACGCTTTCCGAATCCAGAGAGTTATCAGCAAAGATTGAATGCAAGTACACATCTCATTTATTGTGGTTGGTTTTAAGAACTTTTTTGGCTCGGCTATAACTCACCTTTAGACTTGCAGGGGTACTATAATTCTCTAAAAGCTTTTCGTTATGTCCAAGAGTTAAGCATGCTGCCCAATTCATTCTGCCCTTGCTGGAGCCTTTGAACTTGTTGATAAAACTAAAGTCTGATTCGGACATGGCGGTGGATCGAGAGGCCGTTTGAAGCTTCAATGGGAGTTTATCAGGGTATTCTAGCTCCTCTGAACAAGAGCTATCCTCGTCATTGTATCTTCGTTTTAGCTTTGAATTGTATTCAATCCCTTTGTCAACGATCTTCTTTGCCTTGGGTAAACCATCCACATGTTCCTGTAGCTTTTGAAATAAACGTTCGTTGGTCGAGCAAATGTTGCTAACGGTGGAGGTGAAGTTCGATTCTATGTTCAGGCCTGAATCCATGAGAGAGTGTGCTATCTTGTACAAGGCGATGATGGTGGGGTCTTTGTGATGGCTATGGGTGTATAATGAAGGTTGCTGTTCGGTGAAAAAGAGCGATAATGCAAGGAGTGGATCTAAAGGTGCATCGTAATCAAAGCTGCTTATCGTTTCTTTGGATATAAGGTTGCATGATTTTGCCCAAACGTTGCATGGCATTGAGTGAATCCAAGACTTTGCTGTTGTTGCTGGCGAGAAATTGACAAGGCTGCATTTGGCTGAGGAACCAATGCCAAATATTAAGATGATTGGCAATCCACCATGCATTTTGATGACATTCAAAGCATAGCTAATCACGCACTGTAAAAATGCGGTGTTTACCACATTTTGTACTTCAATCAAGATCGGCGGTAATTGGCTTGCACCAAGACGCGTTGTATAAAGGACATCCGATCTTGATTCGTTCCAGTCTGCATCGGCAACATTGTACGTTCCTTCAGGGGCATTTATTAAACCCTTGGTTATGATATCAATAGCAAATTGATGTTTTAGAATCATTTTACTGGCTTTATCGGTACCAGGGAGGAAGTCCATTGGTAGGTTCAACGTCAATAAGTCAGCGTCTACCGATAAAAAAGCCATTTAGTTCTTTATCCCACCTTGTAGAAGAAAGCTTACCGGCTATCGTGTCCATTTTAAAAGAGAGCAAGGAAAGAAAGGAAAGCGGCTGGTAGCTGAAAACACGAAAGGAAAAGTGAGGTTGCTGTGCGACCATCACCATAAATTTACGTTCCGATAAGGCACACGCCCATATTTTTGAACCCAGCCAGACATCTAATTGGTTGATGAATATCGTTAACATCGTTAGCATCGTTAACAGCGTGAACATCGTTAACAGCGTAATCATCATTCATAGCGTTAATAGCGTTAACATCGTTAACAGCACAAACATCGTAAACGTCGTAACATCATTAATAGCGTTAATACTCTTTAAGAGAGATGGGTTCCTTATTCACAGCTGATGATCCACATCATAATAGGGTTGCTATACTCCCAAGACATGACTTTAATGCATACAATCATAGGACTACTACTAAAGACGTCGAAAAGGCTGCTATGTAGCTATCCTAATCCAATGATGCGCCCGGGGTCAAATACGTAGGTAGCCCTTGCTTTTGCAATCCCCTCCACAGCTTCCTTTTGCTTTTGATGTTGGTCGAGCAAATGTTGATGATGACGGTGGAAGTGAACTTGGATTCTACAATCAACTACTAATCCATGAACGAGCATGATGCATTGCACGAGGTGATAATCGTTTTGATGGCTGCGGCTGTATAATGGAAGTTGCTGTTCGGTGAAAAGAGCGATGATACAAGCAGTGGATCTCAAGGTGCATCGGAATCAAAGTCGCTTCTGGTTTCTTTGGATATAAAATGTGCATGTTTTTGCCCGAACGTTGCATGGCATTGTGTGAATCCACCGCCTTGCTGTTGTTGCTGGCGAGAAATTGACAAGGCTCCATATGGCTGAGGGATCAATATCAAAATTGACTTGTACCAAGACACGTTGTATCCAAGCATCGCGTGGGGGTGATCTCTGAGGTAGTCATGCCACAGGCAATGGTGTTCCCAACCTCTCCTTGGGTTGATGTTGTCTTCTGCATCCACACGTAGGAGGTAATGTACCACTGTATAGACCAATCGCTACTCAAACGTGTATCAATATATAACCAAGAACGACGTAGATGACAAACATACCACGCAGGATCCATCAGGGAATAGGGAGGGACAAATGGCACAATGAACACAAGTAATGAAGCAACAAAGAACTGCATTGATGATGATCAAGACCAAAGAATGAGCGCTTCGACCCCGTACAAATGACATAGAACCTATGCTTGACAAGACCAAAGAATGAGCGCTTCGACCCCGTGCAAATGACATAGAACCTATGCTTGACACTCACCAGAAGACGCTTGATGCCATATACAACGAAGTGGACAAAAGAGAGCGTGTAAAGCACCTACACAGGGATTAGAATACTAGCTAGAGGTATCAAAATCGCTATTACCCACCTCACCTTTAGAATGAAGCTTTCTGCAGACGACAAAGGCATGTCCTTGGTCCTGGTTGTATCCTTCATAAGCTTTGCATGCTTGTCAATCGTGCGACTGGGAGTCTTGTAGTTTCATTGCAAATAAAAGCATGTTGTGTCGATAAACGCCGTCTTTCCATTGACCTGCAAACTGCATTAGAGCTTGTGCATTTGCGCATCCGAGCAAAGGGATTGTTGAGTCGAGTACAGTGACGTAAATGAGTGTGCAAGTAGATAAGGACGCGGAAAAGAGTGAATGATAGCAAGCTGGCTTTGGATGCAATATGTCACCTAATTCAACATCTGCAGCTCAGGAGGGACATCGCTATTTCAAAAGGACATAAGTATGTGCTTCATCTAGCAAGATGATTAGGCGTTACCTTAATAAAAGAGCCAAGCATCACAATGACAACGGAAGTAGTAGGATAACAATGAAACCTTAACGATGATCATCATGGATATTAGCACATGGATCGATCACAAAAAGGGCTCCCAACCATGACACCCACCAAGGACTTTTGAAGGTATCAGCAATCAAAGAGTAATATGATGGGAAGAAAAAGATGAGAGGAGAACGCTATGGGCTACATACAATATTCATCTTGTTTATATTTGCACGGTGGGTGTGGGTATTTCTGGGGCCACCAAGAGTGTTGGGAATGGTGATGAGCTGATAAATTGATGAGGAACCATTACAGAGAGCCTTGGTGAGGTTCAATGTGCATGCATAAATAAGGATCTGAGATAGACAAGGAACAATGGCATCACTCAAACCACTTGTTGTGCTCAACTTCCACGATTAAAACGTTGTTCAAGGGGTTCTTGTTTCAAAAAGAGAAGTCGTTCGCATGTTCAAAGCCGATTGGCATAGTACACAATTCCAAGCCATCACATTCCAGCGTGGATGATAAAACGGCTTCTATGCAAAATGGGATACTTTTATTACATCACGTGATACGCCATGATTGTCATATTCAATATAGCTGCTAATGGATGTTGTTGAGTGGTTGTGTGATAATCATGCTTAATGGATGGCGAGATGATCGTACCTGCACATGTTGGTGATGATGCGTTTTTGTTGGGTAGATATCGGACATGATGGGGGCCAAGTGACACGAGATGGATAATGTGGCTAAATGCGACCCACACATTTGTTGATCATCATGGAATAAGCATCAATGTAGCATATGAATATAGCATGTCAAAACGACATGGCACGGAGCATCATCATAAGATCTTGAAGAACGCATGGATCATGTATCACAGCATGTCTGTGCCCCTCGGTGATTAACTTCTACCTGGGGTTGGACGTTTATGCCGACGTACCGAAGAAATGGATGCGGGGTATGTGAAAACAAATGATGGGCGTTTTGCCGATTGCCCATCTATTTGGAGGCTAATGTATATCACTTTTCATCCCTTATAGCCGATGATCTGCAAGGCGACCCAATACCCCACTCTCTCTTTGCCACAATACCAAATAATGCATAGTCTTGAGACACCCTTTTTTTGAACGCAAACAAAAAATGTACAAGCTTTGTGTATTGAGAGTATATGAAGAATGAAAACAAGTGCGTAAAAGATGAAAATGGAATAGGGGGGTGAATTAGATGAAATAAGTCTAGTTCTTGTAAAAGACGACATCACCCTCATCCTCAACGAATCGGCACTCCTTCCAGGATTGCCACAAGGCAATTGGGATGGGGGTTGGGTCGTATTGATAATGCTTGCCAAGAGCCTTCTTGATGTGATGAGTGGCTTCTTCGGCATGATAATGAGGCATGGTGGAGAAGAAATGATGAGCAACGTGAGTATCCGAGATGTGATGATGGAAGTAGTTGAGAATGGCACCATATGAACGATCAACGGTCAACGCAGCACCACGTTGGAAGTTCCAGACGCCTTCACGGTAATGGGGAAGGTTGGGATGAGTATGTTGCAAGTAGGTAATGAGCACGAGCCAAAAGTTGACCATGAGGTAAGGGATAACGTAAAACTTGATCATGGTGATGGAGCCAAAGGTTTGACCCAAGTAGACCAAGACACCGATCATAGCCGAAACACCACCGGTAGATTGCATGACATCCCAAAATTGAGCATCCTCATAGATAGCACAGTAGGGATTGAAATGGGAAGCCCAACCAGGATAGTCTTGACCACTGACATTGGCAAAGAGATACATGGGCCATCCAAATACGAACATGACAAACATGCCCCAAAGGGTACCAAGAGGAGACTCGTCAAACAAATGATGAGGACCATCACCTTCAGGGTCTTGGTCTCTGGGTGGCAAACCATACTTTGAGCGAGTGGTTGGCAAAAAGACCTAAATCAGGGAGAAATGTAAATCACATGCAGGAACATAAAGGGGAAGAAAATTTTTCGAAAGTTACCTGATCTCTGGACATATGGCCGGTGGCCTTGTGGTGGCGAGAATGGGAGATTCTCCACGAATGATAAGGGACGAGCAACAATGAATGAAGAACCATGCCGACGCTGTTGTTGATGGTCTGAAGTTGTACACAAAAAGGATCAGCCAATTGCATTATCACTCCTTTCATCTTATACATACCTTGGATGGGCTAAATGCTTGATGGCCACATTCGTGACCAATAACCCAAACACCGGTACCTACGACGCCTTGAGCGATCCAATACAAGGGCCAAAGGATGATGCGTACAGCAGCAGAGGGGATAGTATCGATGAAGGTGGCAAGATAGGCAAGGAGAGAGATGATAGCAATGTCGTGCAAAACATAGGTGAATGATCGGAAAGTGTCACGACGGAAGCAATGGGGAGGGATAGCTTCACGAATTTCCTTGATAGTGAAATCAGGAATATCCCAGCTTCTCTCGATGGCCTCGTCGATCACAGGTTTCTGCTCGACCGTCTTGCCGTCGGTGGTCATTGTTGGATGGATGATGTGAAAGGTTGAAAAGAGGTAAAGGGAAAAAGAGAGAGGAGATAGATTTATTTGAATTCAGGGGAGCTCAAAAAAACATTTAAACCACGCCATCTTGAACCACACTTTTTGGGGACGTCTGTGTGCGACAACCACTGGTTCTCTTGTCCTGGATTGAATCCGTTTTCACATGTTTCACCGGCGTTTTCTTCGGCTGCCACTTGCTGTACCAGTGCCTGTTGAGGAGGTGCCTTTGCTTGTTCCAGATGTGCGTTTGCGTGTGTCAGTCTTTTTACGAGTCGAGCGTCTTGAAGATTTTCCTATATATCAAAATCAAAAATCCGATCCCTAATCAGACACACAACGTTGCGATCCAATAATAATGCATCCACTGCTTGCCTTCTTCAGGTTCTGGTGTTGGCGTGGCACTGGCTGATGACATTGGTGATGCATCTCGCTTATGTGTACGACTCTTTTTGGATGGTGGAGGAGGGGATGGTGATGGTGCACTTAATTCAGCTTCTTCCTCTTGCCGATGTTCTGATATTAACTGCTCATACTCATCGAGCGGTAGAGTGAATTCATGCAGGTCGTTTTCTTCATCAGCTTCTCCTTCAACATCCTCTTCTTCTTCCTCCTCTTGTTCCTAGCGACATCCACATGTGTCAGGATCTTCTTCATGGGTTCTAAGACATCACGCCATCAATACTTACAAGCTCCTCCAATGCATCCATATCATAGTATGCACCTAATCGATCACGAATGTCTTGTATGGAATAGGGTGTATGGCTTTTTTGATTGAATTGTCGTTGGATACTGATAAGACGAAAATGCTTGTGGATGCCTATCATTCATAGTTGTATTAATATCACTTGAGAGTGCTTCGCTATTGGCATGGCGTACCCACTGGTTTGCATCGTGCTACAGCGTTGAGGAAGTCCAATTCAAGGCCCACATTCCAATCCTTTGACTTGTCAAATTGCTGATCGGAGAGATCGCCACTTGCGATACTGGAGTTGTCTTCATTCTTCACATCGGCCATGATAAAGCACGCGCGTGAGTGGAGCTGGTTGAAATGGTGAGCGGATACTGGGAGCTTCCACTGATGACCAATGAAATCAAAGGTTGAAATGGGCCTGCACAAGGATCAGTCGTCGGCTGCACATATCTATAAACAAATGCCTCCTGAATATGCCATCAAATATGTCTAGAATGACTTCTATACGCTCACACATTGTCGAGTGAATGAGATGCTTTGTACCTTATGTAAGTAAATAGGATACGGTATCCAGGTTACTTGTAGCATGGCAACTGACAACAGGTGGCTTGTGTGTGTCCGACAGAGGAAAGGAGGGGGTAGGTCCTGGGCTATTGAGTTCCCTTCCTTGCACCGCCGACGACATATACAATACACCCACACGCTATGTTTTCGTTACGACCAGCAGTATGTTGAAGCACACGATACCATTACAGCCATAGTCTTATACATCAGATAGGCACGATCGGCCTCCCAACTCAGCATTGCAAGCCGTATCCAAGTGAGATCTTTGTACGTGTCATTGACAACCGATTTCCAATTGTACTGTTACTCACCTTAATACACAGCTCGAATGCGCTTGTTAGAAACAAGGAAGCCGAGCCCCTCGACTTGACACCTCCCGAAGTTAGCAAGTTGTCTGCTGAGGCATTTGAAGGTAGATACAAAGTGAAAATGTATGATACAAGCACCTTACATGATATTATTGATAGCACCTCAACGTCTTCCAGCAACTCACGGCATTACTGTTTGTAACCTTCATATGCGTGGTTACCTTCCTCAGCAACTCGATTTCTATTGTGATTTTGCTCAACGTGCAGCTTATCACCTTGGCATGCCTTGCTCTGGTATTGTTCGTTTGCCCACTCAAACATCCCACTGGACTGTCATCCGTTCTCCTTTTGTCCACAAAAAGTCGCAAGAAAACTTTGAGCGTAAGACACACAAGCGATTGTTGCAGATCAAGGATACCCATCCCGATGTTGTTCAACGATGGCTACAATATTTGACTATGAATGCACCTGCTGGTATTGGTTTACGTGCCACTACATGGGAATTTGAATCACCCAAGGATAAGCAATAGACATTACACTCACAATCACTTCATTATTACTCTCATCTCCTTCCTCATTCAAACACGCAACATATACACACATTGGCTCTCTCTCTCTCTTTCTCTTTAGCTCCTCAATCTATTGGTTTCCTTTTTTCTCTCTACAGTAGACAAAATATACATACAAATTGTCTTGGTCTATATACATCATGCACTAATGGGTGGATCTTGTACTATAATAATTTGTCCTTTTCTCCTTCTTCATCAGATGCTGGGGGTGCTTCCATTCCTTTTGGCCATGTCCCATCCTCCTTCCAACCATGAATCAACATTTTCACCTGGGAAACGATTGCATTGAATGAGACCATCCATCCATATGAGATAAACCCCCACTTCACATGACCCACTTACTGCAAATCTTAATGGTACCGGCTTGTTGGTTTGGACCCTCTTGACAACAAACGTCTTGTGGAACATTTCTAAGCGCTTTTCGGTTGAGAGATGGTCATTGTACCAATCGTTGAGTTCTTGAGCCTTTTGCTTTTTCGTTTCCAAGGTTTCATCGCTCGCTTGTGTCCACTGTTGTCGTCTAAGGTGCCATGCTTGCTCGCCGTCCTTGGACATTGCCGGCGTAAATGCCTTCGAGCTCTTGAATTGCACAGGTGAGAAATACACAATGGTGATCGTCAGAGATCGTGCTTTGCAGTACCATACACACAAACAAGTTCTTGTCAAAAGGGGAATGATAGAGCTCCATGCAAAATCAAGCGGACCAAGAATATGTACTCAATCTCAGTCAATGATCCATAGTTGTAGTCATGGCAACCATTTCGATAATAAAGATGAACAAAACATGCATCGTAGTAAATCACTATGCAGTACATTTTACATCCAACCTAACCTTTGATCGATGGCTGATCGCATAAAGTTGCATCCTTGTAAGATATCAATGGAATCGACTTTTCAACAAGTAGAATGTTGGATCCATGTGCTTCCAGTATTAAGGAACAAGTACATTCAATGATGAACAAAAGACCTAAATCATATTTCACCTAGCATCAGGCTGCATAGAGCATTACGTATGCGTTCCAATTAGAGATTCTATAAGTATGTAGCTCCAATTCTTTATGCTTTCAATTTGAGTAGAATATGTAGCAGCTCTACTAAGATCCAGGATGGATTATTTATAGTGCAATTTCATTGTCATGGAGTATAAGGCCTAGAGTTGATAGTTCATCTGAAAAATTTAAATGCCATTGTGAACGTTAATGTAGCTAACAAAGATGTACATAATTGAGCTCAAAGCAATGATGATAGCAGAACAACGAGAAGAAGGATATTCAAGATCGTGTGAATAGAACCAAATCATCTTAAAGCAAGACATCGATCGATGGTCGATGGTAGTATCGAAGTTAATCCTTTCAGTCTTTCAGAGCCCTTATGTAAAGAAATGAGATGAAGATAATAAGCTTGGTACGTATAATATAGGGAGCAGTTGCTTGATCCCAGTCGCCCAGTGATTATCATGTACTGGAGAAATCGAGTCCGCCCAATTCATTGCCTTTCTTCTCCACACTACTCTTTCCCCCTGCCATGGCTTCCGCCAAAGTGATGGCGAAGTTGCAAGCCAACCAAACAGCAATAACACAAATGGCGGAATTCCATTCGAAGCAAGCGTCCAATGTCACCAAAAGACCCAACGGCAGCAATAAGGAGAAACGCTCTAGTTGGCAGAGGCAACAACAACAGCAGCAACAACAGCAGCAACCGACACAATTGACCCAAGACGATGCCGATCAAGTATGTAAACTTACGCTCAACTCCTTTATTGATGGCCTTTGTTAACGATTGCATTGCTTTACAACTTGTCTAGAGACCCATGAGATACCATGAGAAAGGTAAAAGCGTATACAGCATAAGACATGTCCCATTCGATCCATACGGCTTACATGCTATTGTCTTAGACTTGCTTGAACGCTACGCAGACGAACCACCATCCTTGGTATTGCACTTGTATCCCACATACTTTCGTTTTGAACACGAGGTATCACGCGTCTTTGCACTATTTGTTGATCCAACCATCATATGAACACATGGTACTAACTCATGGATTTTTAGGATGGTTTCTTTTCATACAAGAGTCAATTCAAGGTAGGAATACAATCAATGCGATAAATATGATGGTGGCAGAGATTGATATATGCGTGATGATAGGATTTCTTGGCATGCATCAAAGAGAAGAGGTTACCACCGGATCTAATGGACGTGTTTGATGAGGCATTATGTCGCTTCTACGAAGGTAAATCATACAATTGTTTGCTAATGTTGATAATGTGGGGCTGATGATTTGTGTGGATGATTAGGCTCCTTGATCGTAGAGATACATGATCATCGTCATTCGGCACAACAACAGGATGTTGAACCCAATATTAAGCGTGTGGTGATGCGGCCAACAGCCGAAAGTCTATGGACAGATATTTTACTGCTGAACGAAGTTTGGGGATCCGCATGGACACAAGATATAGCCCTCGAAGTGGAATCAAAAGTATTGGTAGGTTGAAAATACGACAATGGCGGATAGGAAACTAAAAAGCGTGATACATTTAGATTGCTACGGAGGAGCCATTATGTCTTGATCCATCCATTCAAGTGACACGTGTTAGCAATGCCATCGAATACAGCACCGGCCAAAGGAAGATCAAGCGAAAACAGAAATGGAATTCACTTGAGCGAGAGCAAAAGTTGGCAAAGAAGGCTGAGAGCAACAAGCTGATGACTCTGATGGATAATGTAAGTATGAGGTCAAACGATTTATTAGGTTGGTATACTAATCAAATGGTTATCAATAGCGGTCGAAGCGATCATTTCCTTTCGAACCAAGGTATGTTTCTTATCATATGATGCATTGGACATGTCATACTCAGTTTCAAATTATAGCTTTGGCAAGCTGGCCTTTGTGCATGAATGGAGAACGAAGCGTCAGAAGTTGGATAATGAGCCTCTTCCTTCAATAGAGATGAAAAAGAAAAGTAAGTATAATGGGATGGGGTTGCAAAAAGTGTCATCACGTGGTATACTCATTCATCGTATCAAAGGTGGCAGGAAAATGCTTATGGAACCACCGCTGCTACCGGATGGAAGGAAATGTGTACGCACAATACGATTCGAACGTAGTGAAGGTGACAGTATGTATAAAAGAAGAGAGCATGCAACATGGAGGTACTAAGTCATGTTTTTCTAGGGACTGTATATACCGTCGTCGATTTATATATACACAACAGCGAGTACGATGGCGTGTTTCGATGGGGAACGGTCATGGATACGAGTGTTAATGGTGGAAATATCGAGTAAGTTGGTTGCAAAAATGATTGTTATACATGCTAACGTATATTTGATAGCTTCAAGCTTGGGCCTGAACACATGATGGAAGCGTATATTGTGCACCTCAAAACGGTCTATGGCCGTTTCAATACCCTGGTTTGCGACAACAATCTCGCCAATCCTGTGCCACGATCACCATCAGTGACAGGACGACTTGCTGCAGCAGTACAACAACAAGCTAATTTCCAAATGCAAGCTGCTGGTCTTCAGCAACAACTTCAGAGTCATCAAATGAGGAATATGCAGGGCAAGCCCGTATCACATCAGCAGCAGACATTGTTGGCACAAGCACAAGCACGGGCGCAAGCTGCTCAAGCACAAGTACAAGCTCAAGGAATGCCGAATCAGAGTCAAGCGCCATCCCAGAGTCACGTGCAACCACCAGCAGCATCAGCAGCACAAATGCAACTTCCACAACAATCCCAATCGCAGCTTTCACCTTCTCGACCTAGCACACCCACTCAACCTCAATTGGCCACTCCCACACAAACTCATGCTCCTACTCCCGCTATATCACATGCCACACTTCCTCGACAACCGCCACAACAACAAGCAATGGGTATTCCACCAGGAACGCCTACTTCAATGAAACCACAATCAACACCATCGCAAGCTCATACACAACTCGCCAACCTTCCTCAACAACAGCAACAACAACCCCAGCAACACATGACATCAATGCCTGCTCAAGTATCCATGTCATTAGCACTTCCACAAAGACCTGCCACTGCTCAAATGGGTCAACATGCAATGACGAGTGGTGTTGGTCAACAAGGCTTTATGGCATCTACATCTCCACATAGTGGTGCAGGAATGCTTTCCGTGAATAATACCAACATGATGGCTAGTGGCCCTGGACGACCGAATATGCCTACTGCAAGTGCACATACACCAACATCAGGGATGCAACAACAAGGTTTGGTCAATGCAATGGCACCCAATGCTGCACAACAGCAACAACAAAGCACGCCACTTCAAGCTACCATACGTCAAATCCAGTTGCTACTCCAAAATCGCTCTATCACCCCTGCTATGGCACAGCAAATGCTCACCCAAGCTACTGCAGCTGGTGGTGGAAACTTGCAACAACAAATGCTTGCTCGTCAGCAGCAACAGCAACAACAACAACAACAACAACAAATGATGGGTAATCAAGCCAATGCACAACAAGCGTTCTTACAACAACAACAACAACAAAGGGTAAGCTTTGATTGTATATACTTTAACAACGATTATTAATATTTTCTTTTAAGATGGCCAACATGCAGATGCCACAACAACAAGGTGCTGGTGTCCAAAGTGGTGGTAAGTAAATGGATAAGGGTGTTTGATATCAACGAAGACTAATATCATCCTTCGATCTTTGTAGCTCAGCAATTACTTGCACAAATGAGCCCAGAGCAACAGCGACAAGTGATGGGTCTAATGTTACAACGGCAACGGCTTCTTGCTATGGTACAACAAGGCACGATCACTCAAGAAGTGTTTCAACAACAAACCTTGCAAGTTCAACAACAACAAGGAGCTCTCATGCAAGCATTCCAACAACAGCAGCAAGCTCAACAGCAACAACAGCAACAGCAGCAGCAGCAACAACAACAAGTACCTCAACAAAATGTTCCTCAAACCCCTCAACAGCAACCACAGGCTACTGCTGCACAACAGACACCTCAACAAACACCTCAACAAGCACATCAAATTCCTCAACAACAAGTACCAGGGCAACAAACGCCACAGCAACAGCATCAAGCTCAAATGCAGGCACAATTACAGCTTATGCAAGCACAACAAGCTGCTGCTCGTGCCCAACAGCAACAACAGCAGGCTGCTGTAGCTGGAAGGACGCCGCAACAACAACCACAACAAGTCCCGAACATGTTGGGTGGTCTCAATCAAGGGCAAATGACAGCACAGCAAGCACAAATTATACAACAATTAATGATGCAACGGAATGCAATGAGAGCTGGTGGACGAGGTCAGCCACAACAACAACAGCAGGCACGACAACCGTTGTCACAGCAACAGATTGCCGTGTTACAAAGTATGCGTGCACAAGCATTACGTGCCCAGCAACAACAACAACAGCAAAGACAACAGCAAATGCTTGCAGCAGGTGGTGCTGGTGGTGCACAACCACAGCAGCAACAACAAGGAGCAGCTGGTGCTGGAATGAACAATCAGCAATTTTCTTTAAATATACAACAATACCAAGCGGCTGCAGCAGCCCAACATCGAAATTTAATGTTACAACAGCAACAGCAGCAGCAACAACAACAACACCATGGAATGAACATGGGTGGAGGCGCTGCAGGCGATCCTTCATCACAACAGCATCAGTAAAAAAAAGTCGCCCTCTGTTTTTGGCGTGCCCTCTTCCATATATAGCAATATGTTTTTCATGCATTGACGATAATAAAAGAATGAGGATCACACACAATCAGCCTTTTTGTGCGAGCGTATTCTTTTTCTTCTTGATATTGATATCTTTCTTCAATTCTCTTCATGCCACCAAACGCAACAGCCAGTGTCGATGGGTCGTTTGAGCCAACTGTATTGGCGAATCATTTTTGGGTAACACATCAAATGACGACAAGAGGAGCTGCAGGAACCAAATATCTCTCTAATGTGACACCATTGCAAATATAGGCATGCGATCGACGAGGAATGGATCAATTAGTGGGTTGTATTCGTCAATCCTACGATGATCTTGAAGGCATACATGAACTTTACAAGGATCGGTAAGTCTTTTGTAAGAGAGAGAGATAGAGACAATGCTGATAGTGTGTAATACAGGGCTGAGTTGGAGCAAGAATTTGGACAAAAGCTGATGGCGTTGCATGACAAGTTTGAAAAGACAAAGGACAAAAAGACTGGATCCTCCTATCGTGCCATTACCACTGTTCACCAAGAGCTTGCCAAGTCTGCCCAGTCGCATTTGGATATGTCAAGCAGGCTTCAAGATGAGGTGGCACCCCAGCTAGGTGATTGGATCGCACATCATCGTGAAACATTGGATAAGGTATACATGTTATGGAAGAAAGAATGATTTAGTCTAACATGAACGTGTTAGCTGGTGAGCTCGTTGGATGCATTGTACAAGGAACGTCAAGAAAAGCTCTCGATAATGTTACGCGCACGTGATTTTCCAAAAAGACGTAAGGGGTAATTGATTAGGGGTTTGGATGACGAGGATGAATATAGCATACAAATAATCCCATAATTATAGGAGATGAATATCAAAGTGCTCTAACGCAAGTGAACCAATCAGTGGATGAATGGAATACAACTTGGAGGAATGCATGTGAGGTAAAGGAATAGAATCGTACGACACATGAAACAAATAGCAATATTGACAAACAATCGAGCAGGAGTTGGAACTTTTGGAGCAGGATCGGGTTGACTTTTTTATCAGCAATGTATGGGATTATGCCAACCTTGCGTCGGCTCGGCTACTTGTTCAAGATGAGGTAATCAAGGTGGTGATGGGGCAACATGTATATATACAAACATGTTTATACTCACACACTAAACCTTGTATCCACCACCCTCATAGTGGTGTGAAAGTATCCGCAAGCAGTTGGAGGAATGCAATCTGCAAGATGACCTCGCTTTTTATGTGGAGCATCATGGCACAGGAACCAAAGTACCATGTAAGTGTCATGGAATGTATTTTTAAAAGGAGGGAATGCATAAACGTTAACAATAATAACAGCAACCTCGGACTATGCGGATTATTTTGCCGAAAAGATCGTCAACAAGCAGCTACCTCCTCGACCACGCACAATGAGCAGCACAACTACCGCTAGCCTTAACAAACCAATCATGTCCGAAAGCTTCAAGACCAACAGTGTTAATGTTAAGCGTAAACCTTTGGGCAACAAAGATGCTACATTGAATGCATTATTGAAAAAGTTTGAACGGCCACCTATTCCTCCTGTTGAAGGACGTCCTGAGATAACAAGCACAAGCAAACCAACAATGACAGCACCACCACAGCCACCTTCTTCATCGTCCATTAAACCTCCAAAGTCACCAAGGCCACAAGCAAAGCAATTAAATGAGCAATCAACAATGCAACAACATCAACAACAACAGCCCTCACGCTCATCAACCTCTTCTTGTACAACACCCTCGTCATCTGCATCATCCACAACATCATCATCACAGGCCCAGTTATCGCGTTCACCTGTCATGCCGAAAGAAGAACACTCCCAATCACGGCAACAAACAGCATCAACATCTGAATTGGGAATTTCCATGCAACAGGGACCATCATGCATGTATCAACAAGAACCACAGCGGTCACCTGCTCATCATCATCAACATCATCATTCAACCGCAACGGATATGCAACCACCACGTTCACCCATCCAGGCACCAGCCCAACAACAAAGACCTACATCGTATCATCAACAACAACAGGCAACGGATAATACAGCCTATCAACAGCCTCCAAGATCACCCATTATACCACCATCCCATCCACCGCAGCAGCAGCAACAACAACAACAAGGATTACCACCCCCTTTGGATATGGCTGCAGTGCAACAACAACAGAAGCAAAGAATGATGTATCAGCAACAACAGCAGCCTCCTCGTTCCCCTGTCATGCCACCCCCATCACCAGGCTACACAGCTCCCCGCTCACCTATTATGATGGCGCCACGATCACCTGTTCAACCGCCTTCCTCCTTGGACTTGTATCATCAACAACAACAACACCAGCAACCACCACGCTCTCCCATTGCTCTCCATCAACAACAACAACAACCCCATGACATGCTACCACCCACTCATTCCCCCATTCAGCCTTATGCCGTTCCCACAAGTTTAGCACCCACCATGGATAATATCACCACTGCTGCTTATGATCCTCGATGGCAACAACAACAACAACCACAAGCATCACCTTACATGCAACCAGCAACACCCGTAGTACAGCAACAACATGATCCCTATGCATGGACGACGGCATCATCAAATTACGAGCTTCCGGATGGTAAACGGGTTCTCTTTTGGGGTAAGTAGTAGTAGTAGTGCTATATATACATTCATGTCATTTTCTTCTTTTATTCACATGACGTCGACGTTCTATAGTACGAGCTCTTTATGATTACAATGCTGCGGATCCAACGGAGCTGTCATTCTGCAAAAATAACCTATTTGCTGTTACGGGCATGTCCATTGATGAAGGCTGGTGGGAGGCTGAGTTATGGGATGAAACGTGGCATTGTAGTCGTGCATCGGGTTGCATTCCCCACAATTTCATGGTACGCATTTGATTTGTAGCTGTTTTTTTTATTACAAGTTTGGCGCCATCGAATAAAAAAGAAAAGGCATGAACAATAAAACAAAGAAAAAACATCCAGGCGGTGGTTGTGGTGGAAACAAAGGGTATATGTACAACATAAAGAACAAAAAAAGAGAAATGAGGATCATATACAAAAGTGGGCGGGTGATAGCGCATATATAGGTGGTGAGTGCATGAGCACGTAAGAAGAGGAGCAGTGTAGTGTAGTAGTAATAGGGCAGTTGATTCGTTCTAGTGGAGGTAGTAGTAGTAGCAGAAGCGAAGAAAGGACGAGGGAAGAAAAAGTATCATGGAAACGAGGGTATGGGACGAAATGTATACACACCACACAAAATACAAAGATTTTGTGTTAAAAGGGGGGGATATGAGATACAACAGGGAATATGTATAAGAACACAGAAGGATAAAAGATATGATAGAGTGTGTTGTTGGTTGGCAAGAATGGGTATATATCATCATGTTGCTGCTGCTAACAAAGTAGCCGCAGATCTTTGGTTGTTCATCTTCTGGCATAACGGCACCAGAATTCATGGCTAATGAAATAATACAAATTACATGTCAATAAATGAATTGCTGTTTTTGTCATGTCAATCACTCTCTCTCTCTCTCGTACCTGAAGCGAGAAACGTCAACGCCGCAACAATGGCAGAAGCCATAATAGTAGGCTGCTGGGACCGAGGAGTTGGTGTTGTTGTTGACGAGCGAAGCGTTCATGGTGTGATTGCAAGCCATTGTTGTTATTGTTGTAAAAGAGCTGAGAAGAATAAAATACAAAGAAATGGGTTGTTGTTGTGGGGTAGAGGGGAAGGAGAAAGGCTGTCAAACATCGTGGCTTTATATATGTTTTTGTATTCTGTCATCCACGTCGCGTTGTTAATAACATCATCAATATCATCATTATTGCACACGATGCGGGGTGATGGTGATGGTGGCGGGGGACACATATTATACAGGGTGCATAACACCACACACAAAGAAAAAATTGGGGGGTTGGAAGGCAAATGTGTCGCAACCATACATAACAAACCCTTTACCCCGTACGATAACTTTACTCCCTATTTAGCTTAATGCAGGCCTAAAAGAACAAACAAACGGTGTTTTGGGGGAGGATAGAGAATAAGAGAGAAATAAAGGGGGTCTCACTCCGATATGTAAGAATGCGTCATATGCCTTTATTACTATTAGAATAGAGAGCTTTCAAAAGTTGTTCATCTTTTTGCTTCCGCTGACGATCCACTTGTTCTGCTCCGCCTGTTCGTTTAAGTTTCTTTGCATCCACAAAGGCAGTCAGCTCTTTTTCAAAGTCATCGATTCGATTAGCAAGCTCACGTGCTCTCATCTTCTCTGCTTGCTCCATGGCTTTGACACGTTTCGTGTGGTCGACATCGATGGTGGTGACCTGTTTTAGTACGCTTGCCATGTCCCCTGGTTCTCCTCCTCCGTAATGAATACTGCTGCTGCTGCTAGTGTTATTGTTGCTACCATCACCACCGATCGATAATGCAGGAAATATGGATCTGACAGAGGACGAGGATGCATTTCCTCCATTATCACGCTGACGTGTTTGAATCTCATGCACTTTTTGAAGCTGCTTCAATACTTGCACCAGATCAGCATGGTCATCTCGTAAATCCAAAACAAGGGCTTCTTGCTCTTTGAGAAATTGCTGCTCTTGAACAACATTTTGAAGCTCTTGTTCCCATACCAACTTCCAAATGGGTTTGGCCTCTTTGAGCAGTTGGCAAAACGCGTCAATCTCCTTGTCCAAATCAGCCACTTCTTGTTCACAATGCTCCAGCTGTGTCGTTGAAGGTCGACAACGTCGTTGAGTCACATCCAGTTTGAGCTGATCAATGGTATCCTGAAGATCCTGTAACCGTGTTGTAATATGGGTGGCTGTGGATTCGGAACGATCTTTTGTTTCCTGCAGGTAGTGTCGGCGGTGTTTATCTCCTTCTCCGCAAACCCCTTTTGCATTGGTGTCACCCGATGATGATGATGATGATGGTGTTGTTTGCCCGCCCAAAAGGACTTGTCGTTGCTTGTTGCAATACTCGTATGCTTTACCTCGCATCTCGTCCAACATGGCTTTTGTTTCGCACTGGAACTCAGAAGCAATCTGACGCAATATTCCCAAATCTTGACGCAGCTCTTGAATTGCACCCTGATGATGTTGCAGCATCCGATGATCGACGTTGGCTGTCATTGTCGGATTATGCTTCTTTTTGATTGTTGTTGCCATGTCAACAGACGCATTTTCATTATCCGATCCACTCTGTAACGCCTTTTGGATTGTCTCAAGTTTATCCATCATCACCTGATACCACCCAGGCGGCTGCTGTTGTTGTCCTTCTCCTCCAATAGCCTCTATTGTACTATACATAGTTAGACGGGCTGGGGCTCTTTCTCTCTTTTTGTATTATACTTGCATGCCTTTTGATGATTGAAGCAAGAGTAAACAATGGGGTACAACGTCTTGAATGTCTTCGAGCTCATAAAAGATGCCGCTTGTCGGATCACGTATATGGATGATGCGGGTGTCAGGTATCATTGAGTCATCAAACTTGTCGAGGAACAACTGGCGGAGCATGTCCATAGTCATGGGTTGTTGTTGATGGTCATTTTGTTGAATTTTGGTCTTTTTGATTCTATCATGTATCTGCAAATAGATCACAATGTTGTTGTTGTCGCCTAAATAAAATCGGTTTGCATTAGAAGGATCTCCATTCGAATGTTTATCACCGAGAGCCGTAAGAAAAAGCGCGCGCTTTCCCATGAGCCCCCTTGAATATGATAAGAAAGAAAGGGAGAGTTACTTGCTTTTTTGCTTATTGCTATCAGACAACCCCACGTCATGATGCTGATTTCTGGTCACAGGATGTCGGCGTGGTGGTGGTGCAATGGATGGTGATGGAGAAGAAGAAGAAGTGATACTTTGGTCACTGGTTGTTGCTGTTGCTGCTGCACCTTCCAAATCGGCCTCTTTTTGGTAGTCATGGAGATGATGTTGTTGTTGGGCAGTACGACGCACTGAAGAACGATGAGCAAGGTCGTCTTGTTGTTTCAAGGCAGTGAGAGCTTCACGTGTACTTGGGTCGTCCATATCGAAATCAGAAGCACTGGATGATAGCAATGCTCGTTCACCACCAGCACCAGGATGATTGTTACGAATAGTGCCAGCACGACGAGGAAGGCGTTGTGGTACTTCGTGTCGCAGCTGTGCTTGTTTCTGTTTCAGAGCATGTAATAGCTGCAGGATCGTCTCACGGATAGCAGGAAGATGCTGCTCCAATGTGGCTGTGGATGGCGGTCCTGCCAAAGCTGCTTCAAGACATGCATGCAACTCGCTAGGTACATGAGCTGCTTCACTAAAATAGATCACCAATGACGTTAATATGCTTCTTCAAAGAACCAAAGAACATCATTCGTCCATACCCCCCAACAATACCATTATCTTCCGTAATACTACTTACTCAATTGACACGTGCATTGATGCAAACGCTTGGCGTGCATGATCAAAATCCTCTTGCAGAGTTCGATACACTTCCATCACTTGCTCGGCACTCGCTGTTTGATTTGACCACCCAGTCAACACTTGCAAGATATTCTTGGTCGATGAAAGCAGTTGTGTCACCGTCGATTCAATCGATGCCTGCATTTGCTGTTCCATTACAAGACGTTATGCACATGCCATGGACTTGCAATTAGAAATCGCTTACATTCAAACTGGTGCTGCTGCTACTTCTACTCGTCGCTCTTCTTGCTTCTTGCTGTGGCGATGCAGGTGTCTGTTGTGGCGGCGGCGGAGGAGGCGGCGGCTGTGTTGGTGCAACATGATCATCATGCAGCGTAGAACCAAACGAGACAATGGACGCTTTTTGCTGTTCTAGTTCTTGATCCATTGGACGACAAGGCCATAAAACCACGCAATAGGAAGAAGAGAATGAAAAGAGATAAATCCCAACTGACTACATTCTTGTAACCCCAAAAAACGTAAATCGTTCTCTCTCCCTCCCTTCACTTGTCTCCTTGTTGATAAAATACTTTTATTGTATCCCACCATCTTTTTTATTGTCTATGAATGAATTACACTAAAGGTTACAGATGATTCAAGCGTCGAATTGCAACGGTTATAAGGAGCTATATAGGATACATGATTAGCTTTCCATTACTACCACTATTCCCAAAACAATCTTACGTCTTCCGTTATTCGAGCATGGATGATTAGCACTGCATGGGGGAATTTACATAACCAGCAATTAGCAAGTTGGTCCCATGTAATGGCGACATGCATGATAAAAGATTACTTACAGGCCTGTGACAAGCATCGTATATGAACCATTTGGCATATTGTATGGAATTTCCCATTCATCATGGGCTGATCGTGGGCCATCGCCAGTGCGCACCCATGTTGCGTTTGGAAACACTGATACCACTCTCTTGCTATCAGCTTCGGCAATGGATACAGCCGCCGAGTTTAATGAGGCCATCCCATTGAATCGTACTATGCATATTGATCATGGTTAGCGATACATCTCTTGAAGAAGAAAGATCATACCAACCTCGATATCGGATGTCAATAGTTGCACCTGCATGGAAGGCAGCTCCATTAGGAGGTTCATCAATAATGATTTGGTCACCGAGAACGACAATGCTTGATCCACCAAGGATTGCTAGCAGTAGCCATAAGGGATGAAAAAGACTGAAGCACAGCATAGTAGTGGTTGATTCTAAAAGGAAAAAGAAAAGAAAAGCTGGATAAAGACCCTGGGTCTACGAAAGGGTATTGTTGATTGATAATGCTTGTTGGCAAACGATCCGCATGTCTTATATATATATATAGACCATTTCCCTCGATGCTCATTGTGCTATATATCACTCTTTGATCGCATTTTACTTGCACAATGATACAATACGCCTATTTTAACATCCAATTTATCAGGAGGAGGGTAGTCATTGTCGTAAGCGCGTTACTATTATACATTCATCAAAGCCGGTCTGTGGCATGTAATATAGCTACAAATAGGGAAGCCGATAGCTGCACTATGCGCAGCGTGTATGGTACAATGAATCCGAATTCCCATAACAGAAAAAAGGAGGTACGCAAAAAAGGCAATCAATTCTTGGGCCCCCATTGATTGTTGCTTGTCATATTATATCAATCGTCGTACGTGTCGGTCATCATCATCCAAGCCATCTGCAGGCTGTAGCAGCAGTTTTTGATTTGCATTAACCATCAAGATTATAGTATACGACATGTATGGTTGGCCATGTGGCTTTATCTTTAACGTACTTCAGTTACTGTTATAAACATATCAACTTTATTACATAACTTTTAGCGCCATCATCAATTGCTGCCCTCCTTGATAACGATGGAATGACCATTCAGCAATTAAAGCGAACAAATATGTATCTAGCGGCCGCCTGTACCATGCTCATGAAAATACTAAGATGCAGAACAATGAAACAATCAACGTAGCTCGATCAGGTATGTATTCTCGAGTGCCAAACGGGGTGTAAGTGAGCTAAGATAGTTCAATCATTCACTTTGAAATGAGCTGTCACTGCAAACTTTCATTCTTCTCATCCATACACATGTCTCCTGCTTTACATACGCACTGGCTAAAAAAAGTAACTGATAGAGAGCAAGGGGTAATGGATTTGTGTCACGATTATGCATCAACATCTTTGGCGGGTTCAAGCACAACTTAGGACATGTTTATCTTTTTATGGCATATGCTAGCAAAACAACCATCTTCATACACAACCCCAAAGCTCCATTTCCAGACACAATTCACTTTTATACGTTGCCAAACACATCAAGTCGTAAACGAAGGATGAAAAGAGTTGATTGTAGTTTCGAATAAGTTTATTCTCCAAACACGATGGAAATAGCTTATTTCTTCTACAAAATGCGCAATGCCGTGTGAGATACCTTGTTTATACCATCCTCATTCATATCCAATCTTACCTTGTTGGCCTCCTCTTCGGCCTTATCACGAGCACGCTTCTCACGGGCACCAAGAGTGCGGGCAGCGGAGCGAGCGTAACGAAGCTTCATGTAGGCGTTGACCTTCTTCTCATCAGCAGAGATGGCACGAGCTTCAGGGGCGGTAGCAACTTGCTCAACAGGGAGGATAGCACCACGAAGTTGAACAGCAGAGGCAACAGCAGCAGCCTAATAATGATATGAATGATGAGCTATTTGCACATAGGATAATAAGCGATCTACTTACATCAGAGTCACCCTTCTTGGGGCTGGAAGCCTTGCGAGGGAAGACGATGAGCTTAGCCTTGTAAGCCTTGAGACGTTGAACGTTCAATTCAAGGGACTCTTGGGAGTGGTTGCGACGACGGTGGTCAACAGCAATACCAATGGAGCGAGCTTCCTTGCGGTTGATACCAGCTTCCTAGAAATGGGGATAACGAAAAAATTGAGTATACATGTATGTATATCACTTGAGTCCCTTTTTCCTCATTCATACATACCTTGAGTTCTTCAAGAGTGAAACCACGGCCAACACGGAGACGCATGTTGTAACGTTGAGTGGGGCAACGAACAGCAGGACGCAAAAGACCGTCAACAGGACGAGGAGCAATGCGGGCAGCCTTTTGGATACGTGCAACACGGCGAGATTTCTTGCGGCCGGGCTGATCGAACCACGTCTTCACGCGACGCTGCCAGTCCTTACGGAAGTGCTGGTTGGGCAACTGGTTGTTGTGCTTCAAGACCATTGTCTAAATGTCGTTCAATTGGGAAAATGAAATGTGTCGCAAAGTGGGCAAGAACCGAAAGTGGATAAAGAAATAAAAAGATGTCAAAATCAGTAAGTTGATCCAATCCATTCATTTTTAATCCATCCATAGCGTTCATCATTCATCCATCATCACATTCATGAATAGATGGATGATGATACACGATTGATGGATGATTCAAGTGTCGTGGATACGTACGGGTGACCAGTATGGAGAAAGAGGAGGCTCAACTACTGCAGCCTGTGGAGTGTCAAGTCGGCCACTGCTGCTCGCTGCTCACGGAGATTCAAATGCTCTCAATCCTATTGTCGGCCACCTAGCAACCATCCCACTCCTCGTAATACTAGCAATAAATGGCTATCTTACAAGGCTAGAAAGGAATGTGTCTCTAGTAGTCAATGTCTAATCATAAAAAAGTTGGAGACTTATACTATAAATGCAATCTTTGTCCAAAACACAATGAGTCAATCAGATCCTTTTTCTTCCTCCTCTCTCTTCTCTTTCCTTTATCAGAGCATTTACAAGTGCTTCTACAATCCTGCATAATAAATCTTTCGACAATACAACGTATCGAGTTCCCACAAACGACGAGGTCCAACTCAGGAAGAACAAAGGTTTCTTATACAATAGAAACTTGAGAATGGTTGGCAACGCAACATCGTATTCGCTAAAATAACCCTCCTTTAATCCAACGTCATTCACAAGAGATAGGTTGATAGGTATAAAGAATTGCTTCATTGGGGGAATACATCGATTTGAGAAGTTTCTATCAGTGAGCGAGTTGTATGTAAGAGAGATATATAGAAGGTTGTGTACGACATATACGAAGCTAGTGGAAAGCATCAAACACTAGACGAGGGAAATGGAAAAGGCATGTTTTGATATAAGGCGTTGACTAACTTTTGATGTTGGATTATGGGTAATGATGGCCGAGTCCTTCAATCATCGATATCGGATAGTCTCCTTAAGCTCCACGGGGATGAGATCGCAGCATGCTTCGAATCTTTTGCTGATTTCCCGATTTCATCTGATAAAAGCCATGTGAGCGCAAAATAGTAGGAAGATTTCCAATCACTTACATTCAATGTGCATAACAACTCAAAAACCTTCATAAAGTCAAAGCGATCCGACCATTCGGTTGATAGTTGAGAACTTCGAAGTTCGACCACTTGCCATGAGATGCAGCCATGAATGGTAGTGTTGAGCAACGTGATTCTGTCTTTGATGCATTGTACACCATTGCCTTTCCTGTATCGTACTTCCCATCCTGGTACTTGATTAAATCCATGCGCAAGAAGGCTGTGGTCATCATTATCGGCTTCCAGGTGTCCGACATCGAGTGATCAATCCGTTCCGCAGAATAGCAATTGGAAGATGCATGTACTTATGTCACCTACAAAGAAGGGGTCCCAAATACCTATCAGACTAGGCATCCTTTTAATATATAAATGGTAATTATATACTTACCACAAAGGATCCATCAAGGAGCACAGCCAAATGTCATTAGGCAGCAATGAGCACACCAAGTGATGGTAAAGCAAGGGAGTGAGCTACATAGATGAATGCATGAGTACCCTCATTTTGGCCATCACATAAAGACTATCCTTGAGACTTACCAAAGATCATTGATGATGATATGAATACAAGTAGAAAGAAAGGGCGTATGATAGCGTTGGCGACAAGAGCCTTGTTTATATGTGAGCGGGCGTGAGAATTGTTGTCATGATGGATCGAACTGATAAAGTGGTCAAGCATCTTGAAGTACTGTGTCGAAGTGATGGAAAACCAACAGCTGATAAATCCACCTGCCATTTGAAAGGTGATATATTGTAGGTCGCATAAGTATGTCCTGCTGCCGTCATAAACATCCTTCATCCGTGATAAGATAATAGCTGCTGCATGCATTGACCCGAGTATTCCAATACCATCCATGGCTGTAAACATCTCTCGTCCATTCCATCCAATCCACCATCGTCATCATCATCCTCAGCCGTATTCACGTGATATGATCCATTCTTCTTGCTGACAACACGCTCCCAAAGCAGCATTCCATGCTTCCCCATCACTGCACTTGATTGCATCCATCCATCCATCATTGAGCAGTACAAATGAATACGTTGGTTGAAACGAGCCATGCGATCGCTGTTGATAGTATGCCTCCTTTTCCATCCAGCTGTTGGTCAACCACTTTCTAGGTCATTTCCTTATCGTAGCTCTTGTATTGCCGGCGTACTTCATAACTGATACGGCATCTTCCATAGGTCTTCATACGGTTGATACACGTCAATAAAGCTGCTTCAATACAATGGCTATCTGCTGTGCACGTAGAAAAAGGCTGCAAGGGATGCTGGAGCAAGTAACTTGAGACGATGGAGTAAAGACCTTGCTGTTACGTTTGGTTGTGGCAGAGGAGCGTGCAAGAGCGTGTGTTGTAGTAGAGTGACAAGGCTTTGAACACCACACGAGTCATTGGAGAAGAGACCTTACTGATTGCAACTGCTGTTATGATTGATCGTGGTCGTGGATTGTACAAGAGAAGGTGTGGTGTCAAGGAACACGGGTGCTGTAGTGGGCTGTACACGCCATGGACGTGCAATTCAGTCAAAGACAATCGGATCAAGACATTCGTAGCATTGACATGATGGGTTGAAGCAGGACAATCGTTCGCAGGTGGTAGTTGTATACTTGAATGGGGTAACAGTTGAGATTGCGAAGAAGAGGCAAGGGGCTGAGAGTGGAAGAAGTGGAAAATAAATGGGTCGGACACCTCTTATATAAATGCATGAACACTGTACACCAATACTTGATATTGAGATTGCTCATCTCGAACATGAAACTTTCAAAGATGCTTTTGGACATGCTGATCAATGTTGTATTAAAAAAGATGTCATGTACATTTGAAAAATTGGAATGGGAGGGTGCAATGTGGGTTTACTATGTAAGTCGGAAATGGAGGTCAGCCCCGGATTCACGATTGATCGAAATAGTATGTATTACCTTGGGATTCCCCATTTCGAACATGAAACTTTGTCAGAAGGTTCGCTGCAACATGTTGATCAACTTCATTCATTTAAAAACCATACACTTCATTATGAACATTTAAAATGCGGGGTGGTCCAAATGGTGGATGATGGGAACAAAAGAGCGGACGGCCCACCGCCCCGAAGTTGCTCACTTCCAACTTGAAAATTGGTCAGGATGGTGCTCCGAGCATGCTGGTCCACTGTTTTCATATAAAAACCTCACACTTCATTTGAAAATTTAGAACGAGAGCGTCCAAAAGCTTGAATGACGGAGACATTCGCAGGGTCTGTCTTTCAAGAATTGACACTATCTCTGTTTGGGCGTAGCTCACCCAAATCGGCTCGGATCAAGAAACTTGAATGATGGAAATGATCGGCTGGAGCAGGAGCATTGTTCACGTGTAATAGAATGAACAACAGTGCCGATTGTGAGGAAGTGGATGTTAACTGCCAATCATAGATGGTGTATATGGTATCGTACATTGGTCATTCCAATCATGCAAAATGGCTCCGTTACACCAAGAAGTCCTTCTGCATCTTTGGCTCTCCAGGGTCTAGCTACTTGACAATGAACAAAAACCACTTTTCATATAGCATCACGCTTACAAACGTAAAGGTGCCTGTATCTCCAAACTTTACAATGAAACGTGGGCTCTTTAATACATCAACGTGCTCGTCGGGGTCAAAGGAATCTTGTGTCAAAGTATGAAGTTCATCGTGGGCGATCCCAGATTTCGCAATGTCGCTACCAGCCAAACTGGATCTGGGGGTCGACCTCTTCGACGACGACGACCAAAAAATATTTTTTGGGCTGTTTGCGACATTGAACGCGAAACTTTCACACAAGGCGCTGTTGGCCAAGCCGAGCCCATTGCTCTAATAAAAACCCCACGTTTGATTGTAAAGTTTAGAGAGACAGACACCTTTATGTTTGACCTTTGCCGTAAGCGTGATGGAGTTGCTTTCTCCTAATGGATGGTGTCGGCTGCATTAACGAAAAGATGGAGAGCTGAGTGAAAAGGCACGTGGCGGTTACACAAACACATCCTTGACAGGTTGCTGCACAAATGGATGATGATCATGATGATTGCTGCTTACAATACTCGAATACGCAAACATACACGCATGCTATTGTTCTCAATAGTTCCAAATCCCTCTTTTAATGGGAGTGTGCTTAGGTGTACAAGTGATTGATTTCATTGATAGATATTATCACCAGCCCTCATTTGGCCGATGTAGTAGGTATGTATGCATAGACTATATTACAACTAGATTCCTAGCATATGTGTCTCAAGGAGGAGAGAATACCGGGATGCGATTGGCGTGTACATAGCAGCCGGATGGTGTAGTCAATCGTGGGCGAACATAGCGGGGGACTCTCAAATCCGATATCAGCTGTTATTGATTCTTGATACGACTTCCAAAGTTAGCTCGCAAGCTGTTGCCAGTTGAATACCGCTTGAACAATCCTTCAGCATGGCCCCGCGTCAAGCAATCATTCCAATTCATCTTGCCAATCAAATTTTTGCGATAATGACGAATAAAGGCTATTTCTTGCTCTGGTGTTGCAGAAGCTTCGGTAGCTTTGGATACCATGGGAAGTTTTGCTGGAAGTTCCAATGATGAATCGCTATCAGTCTCAACCATGCTGAATTTTCGCTTCACTTTGGTGTTGTATTGGCGTGCACGTTCAACGATCTTGCATGCTTTGCGTGTTCCTGGGATATCTTTGATCGCGTCATATATGCGATGGTAGAGCGTTTCATGCGTGTCACAAACATCGTTGATCGTCTTTAGAAAATTGTCTTTGTAGGTCTCATCCTCCTCACATAACGTCATAATGAGCTTGTATAAACTCTTGATGGTGCTATCGTGTGCGTGCGAGTGCGAGTGTAAAGCGGGTTGTTGCTCTGAGAAAAACAATGATACGGCGTGTAGTGGATCGAGAATACGGTCATCATCAGGGGCGTCGTTCGATACAAGATAACAATTGGTGGCCCATCCAGTGCATGGAAACTGCTTAAGCCAAGGCTTCTCATCACAAGACTCGAACTTTGTCGAAAGGTTTCGAGCTGAAGCCTTGTCGACACAAAAGATCAAAACAATAGGCAACGGGTGGTTTGGGTAAATGTTGGTAACGCTCAAGCAATACTGGATGATTCTTCTGATAAATGCATCGTTTATCTTTCGTTGGACTTCAATCAAGACAGGTGGCAATGAAGTGTGAATGCTCAATCGTGGTGTATAAAGGACATCGCATCGCATGCCGTTATTCCATTCGGTGCCCGAGCTACAATAGGTGCCGTTCGAAACATCCAGCAGAGACCGCATAATCATGTCGATAGTTGTTTGGGCTTTTAGCACGCGTTTGCTTGGTAGATCCATTCCAGGTAGATAATTCGATGGTAGACCAAAAGTCAATAAAGCATTATCAGCCGTTTCTTCCTCTATAAACCTGGATGAATATACTGAAAGTTGCCTTTTCACATTTTTACCTTCGCTGTTGGTTGCACCATCCTCTGCTGTCATGGCCAGTGAAAGTGAAAGGAGAAAAAAATATAAATTTCGGAATCCAATACGCGTCATACGCATGAGCCGCTTCATACACTATGCTTCATAATACGTCTCATACGCTTGCGGCGGAGATTCAAACGCCTAATACGCTCCTGGTCCATGCTCCATACGCTTAATACGCTCCATACGCTCCATACACTCTAGCCTGATGTGATACAATGGACCCTCGATATTTTCAATACCCTGTTCGCTGCTTCGAATTCGCACATACATTATCAAGGTATACGCCCAAATTCCATAAAATAAAAGTGAACACATCGATTAATAAAGCAATGAAAACTGCCTGGATGATTACAAGGATAAATCTATGAGTATCATCGATTCAAAGGATCACATGATGACTACCCTTGGCACTTACCGAAAGACATCACGATGGAGAATGGAATCATGTTGATGGAAGCAGGCTTGCTTTTTATGCATGCATGGCTATGAGATTGTTGTCCTTGCAAGAAAGGAGGCCTTGATTGATTGGATCGATAAACTGGTCAAGCACCTTGTTGGGACTCGAGGACGAAACAAGATGCAGCTATTCAATAGCCTAACCCAAGCTTAACACCCCAAACTCCTTCAAGTCCATTTCCATACCGTAAACAAAATCAAAAGAGATCCTTTGTTCTTCTTTCAAAAAGCACAATCAAGGTACCCAAACAAAACAAAACAAATAACGAGTCAAAAGAAAAAGAGAGTTATGTACTATCTGATGAAAACGGGTGTTGGATGGATCGAGAAAAAGAGAGAGAGCGAGAGGTGCGTGTGTGTGTGTGTGTGTGTGCGTGCGTGTGAAATGTGAGTGTGAG